ACACCTTGGCCTTCGGTCACCACCTAACTCTACCTCCATTCAGCTTCCTCAGCCTCAGTCAGGAGAGTTGCCTCTCCTCACCTTGGCCTTCGGTCGCCACCTACTCCTCCTCCATTCAGCTTCCTCAGCTTCAGTCAGGAGAGTTGCCTCTCCTCACCTTGGCCTTCGGTCGCCTCCACCTTCTCTACTTACCTTGAGCTCAGCTCAAGCTCGGTACGGGCTCGCCCCGTCTTCTTCCTCGCCCTCGCCTTGCTCTTCCTCCATGTCTTCCTCTTCTTCGTCATCTTCCCTCATCTCCACCCGCAGTCGGTCCTTCTTGTCCACCTTCAGCGAGCAGGCCAGCACATGCATCTCTGCGAATTTACTCAGTGCTATGAACAGGAAGCTAAGAGATCGACGCTCTATGTCGTCGCTCTCCGCCTCCTGCTCAAGCTCAGCAGCTGCCGTTGCGGAGACGAGCCCACAGGACAGTCCCAGCTTCACCACCTGCTCTCTCCTTGCACGCGAGTCCAGCGCTTGCTCTGCAGCCACTTCCCCAGCTTCTCCTTGAGAACGTTGCGCCCAACTCCCTGCTCCTCTGGCATCTTCGCCCACTCTCCCAGCGACATGAACTCCAGGCTCCCCGGAGAGTAGAACGCCGTTCGTGGAGGTTGCCAACGGCCTTGTCCAGGACCAGCTTGATCGGCTCGCTCGTCCCCGCCTCGTTCAAAGAAGCTGCATCTTCGATGACTGCTGACAGCTCGCTGACGAGCTGCATGTCCTCTTGGCTTGACGGAGATGCTGCCTCCATTGTGATCCTCTCCAGGTCTGTAAACTTAAACCCTAAATATCTTAAAACCCTTTTAGGGAGGATAACGGTGTGTGTAACGGTTCCGTGCCTTGTGATTCATGCTGCGATGTTTGCACTTGCTTTCTTTGTTGACTGTCACGACCGCTCTTAAGGTATGGGACAAAGATATACAGGACCACTCTTTGAATTTCAAGTAGTAAAGTTGTTACTTATACTTGTTGTATGTTTAGTTCGACCTTCCTTCAGGAAAAGTCAAGTGCTTCAGTGAGGATCTCCCTTCCAATACACTTGTGGTAAGAAACTCGTTCATGTTATCCTATGTCAAGCAGTGTGTGCACAATTTTACCATCAATCCTTAAGAGTCATTTGTAAACTTCACGTAGACTGGAGACTTTGCAGCTGAAGCAATTCCCGATGGACAAAACAACATGCCTATCGAAATTCAGGTAAAGGGTTTAAGCCCTCCCTGGCAAACCTGAACGCTTGGCAGGTGACAGACCCGTTTGAAAAAATAATGTACTTGTTTTGAATCCGATGGATGATATGGTGGTTATGATGTTTTCGTGAATCAGCTACACCAAGGACGACATATCACAGGGCAAGTTTGCATTTACAACTGCAACTACGGGAGACTATATTGTCTGTTTCCATAACAAAGGTGGACTTGAATTCATGGTCAGCAAAGATTTTTCAGCTACAAAAATAGATCCTGATTTGTCAATCGCAGACACAGAGGAGAGTAAGTCTTGTTTTGAAGCATGGAATAGATGCTCGCGATTATTCACAAGTAATGAAAGAAGAACATTTGTCAGGAGTACAGGTTTGAACAGATCCTTGTGATGAACGACCCAGAGAGCATTGATCAACAACAATCAATAGGGTGCGTTGAGAGAAATGGAAGATCGACTGACAGAAATACGACAACAATTTGTTTCCGAGGTTCTAAGTGAAAATTGCGATTCGAGTGATTAACGATGGAATCCAGAGAAAACGAGAAGAGTATCTGAGAGATCTGACTGAAACAACGTATTGCTTGCTCACTCATTTGTGAGAAATGATACTTAAACTGATGCTCCATTACACACAGATGCTCAAGGGTAATGTGGTTTGGAGTTTTCACTGTTCTGGTATCGATCGTATCATTTGCATTTACGTACGATCTTGACTTCTCAAATCACAGGTTTGTATAGGCACAAGCATGATACAGTATCACGATCTTTTTCGTGTTCTAAAGAAAGGAAAATATCTTGATTGAACACATGAAAAGATTTAATACAGAATCATTTGAACACGAGACCATCTCAAAAGGCTTCGTTCAACCATCAGTCCCTTGCCTAATTGTATGAAAGTTTTGGTACACTGGCACGATCATCCGCATCCCAATCACACAAGCATCTTCTCCTCATGCGATGAACTCGTCCCATTACATTCCCCGTCATCATTACACCAGTCACAGGCATTGCTTGGAAAGGAATGATCGTTGTTACATGCAGCGTATCATCAAACATTTACCTTCGTCTGTACCTAAGACTGTGAAACCTCCGGATACTTCTTGACACACAACCCAATTCTTCGGTATCTCACATGAATGTATTGACATTGCACTGGATATCACTCACATGCACTCAGCTCTTCTGTAATGCACATAATGTGTTTCACTTGCAACTACACCAAAACTTCCAGAGATCAAAAGGCTCTACATCTGCCAAAACCATTGACACCGTCCAAAGACATCATCCAAGTGATGTTAACCAAACACGAGGAAAGTTAGCAGATGTGTCTCATTCAGATGAGAAAAAAATACTGCAAATCTTGTTCTGTCACACAAACGTATCTTGCAAGGCAAGGGAAGGGAAATTCTTCATCAAGCAAATTTCATTTACTCGGGTACTTCATATAACAAATCAATGTACAGCAGAAGGAGAACAAAGGACAATGGGTCTGAATTGGATGGTTTTGCCGCTGTCCTTCTGATATCTTTCAGTAGATAAAAGGAGGAAACCAAAAAGTGCATAGAATACTCCAATGTAAGATAAAGACAGTAAGGTAAGAAATGCGTTTTAAGCAGAACAGGCTTGGATCATTCCTTTTCAACAGTGACACACGAACTGTCCGATTCAGAATCAGTTTTACGCAGGATACCCTTAAAACTTCCATCCGAGCTGTGACAAAGATTCGGTGAAATTCTTTCAATGTGAAAGTCAGTCTCCATGTCCATGTATGAGTCGTTATCTAGACCACAATCGTCTTCGTCTTCTTCTCCGTTGTTCACATATCCCCTGAAGATATGAAGCTCATCATCACCATAGTCATACAGGACCTCCGTGACGACGTGCTCAAATCGTATCCCACTCAGTGAACGCCCCTTCAGTCGATGATCGCTGTGAAAATTCAAGAATTCTTCTGACTGAAGGTGTTTCTTGTTTACTTTAGTGTTTTTCTTGGTCAGCCTAGACCAATATTTGTCGGGATGCTTGCCGAAGGTATTGCCCATGTTCAGTTCCACCCAGAGCCGTGTGCGTGTTTTCAGTCGGCAAGAATTACAAAAAATATCCCTTGTTCGCTTCGTGGTTGAAGTACAGGGAGAAATTCTAGAGGAATCTTCTCGGAATGAGTGTAATGCTCCTCAACAGAAAATTCTTGTCGGGACAGAAGTGTCTCAAAGCGCAGAAATATTCACCTGGTAAGACCTGAAGGTTTTCGGTACAGAAGTGATTTCAGCTTGCGGCAGCGGGGAGATAGCAGTAATAAGCAGTGCATGGAATTCACGCTCAGTTGTGGGAGAGGCTGAAGTTATAGTGAGTAGATGGGGAGATATAGAGGGGTAGTTTGAGGGAAAGGATGGGTAGTAGGGTGGTCATTAGTACCGTTTTTTCCTTCAGTTGCCTCCTCGTTCGCTGCCGGTCGGAACAACAAAGCAGACCAAGAACGATGCTATTGCAAAATCTCTTAATGCCACATCTAGAAAATGACTCATGGTAACCCCCCTGCTCACCTGAGTTAACCAGCAACCCCCAAGGGTTGCCTCAAAGTGTTGGACGGAGACGGAAATCGGGGTGGGGTCATGAAATCACATCTAACTGCCCAACTGAACGGCCTAAAAGACGTGTTATCGAAACGATGGAGTCAGCAAAGTTTACTCCTTCACGGTCAGCAATCGGCACTGAACCGCCTTTGAGTAAAGTTTCGAAGCCTTTGCCAGTTCAACGGTTTGCAGTCGGACCGGGCGGCGCCGGCGCGCGGCCCGGCCTGATACCGTAGTACGGCGGCGGTAGCCCTGCACTGCCAGGGCCGGCGGCGGCGGCCCTGGCCGCGCTTCCGCTGAGTTCAAGAGTCATTGGCAGGCCCAGCCGCGGATCGGACACTGCCGGCTGAGATCCGGGACCGGCGGTCACAGTGGCAGTCCGACAATCAGGCCACAGACGCCGGTAAGTTAGTCACAGTTTAGGCGGCGGCCGCTGCGGTGGCATCATCCGATCATCATTGTGATGATGATCCGAGACTGGCCGCCAGGCCCAGTCCCGGCCCCGGCGGCCGCGGTGACTGACTGAGGACGGTACCGGCGGCGGCGGCGGTCCGGCCGCCCGGCCGCCCCGGCGGGGCCGCCGCCGGGCCGCCCGTCGGAATCAGTGTCCCGGGGTCCGTCCGTCACGGCGTGGCGTGACAGTCGGACTGTCCGAGGCCGCAGCCGCACCGCCCGGCGACGGTCCGGTCCGGCGCCGGACCGCGGGCTGTGACTCAGTGCTGCAAGACCGTACCGTTGTACCGTGAGAGGATCACGTGACTCGTGACTCACGGTCCGACATCGGATCATCGGGCGGGCAGCCGCCGCGCGGACTCCGCGCCTCCGGCCGGGACCGTACTTCACTTCGCGCCGGCCGCCGGACATCCCGGGGCCGATCCGGAACTCCGATGCTCCGCCGGGACTCTCGGGCCTGGGACTCGGGAACTTCGGAACTTCGGAACCGTTGAACTTAGTGAAAGTTCAGGTTCAAGCCTGTTTACAAGTTAGTCACACTGAACGGTGACGGCACGGTCGGACGGTCAGGTTTTAGTTTTGAACTTGCTTAACTCTAAACTACACCCGAGCGTTAATTTCAGGTTAAAGATGGCGGAGGACGAGGCGAAGCAAGAGGGTTCAAGCCGCATGGCGCAGCTGCCACTACCCGTGACTGTTGAGCAGCCAGGGACTCTGATAATGCTTCTTCAGGTTTGATTTCACTGATGTTTCCTACATGCTTTTTCATCATGTACTGCTCTCGTGAGGGACTCACAAAGTCTTGTTTACAGTCACCTGAGCAGCCCGTCACACTCTCTGCAGCAAAAGCCTTGTACCAGTTTGCTAAAGATGGTGGCGAGGGGAATGAGCCAGAGATCATCATGCACTTGCGAGGGGCTCTCGGTGATGGCGGTGGAATTCCTGTTGTAATCAAGCTCCTCACCAAGGTTTTGGAGTTCAACTCGAACTACCTTTATTGACTGGATAATCAGGAAGCATGGTGTGGCGCGGACTTCGAAGTTCAGGCTGTATGCTTGAATATTCTATCTCGGTGTGCAGGCGAAGCGGTTGCAGATGGGAGACTCATCCTAAGGAAAAGAAATGGGGAGTCGTGTCAGGTGACATGGGAAATGGGTTGTTTCCATTTCAATAACAAGGCACCAGGCGGACAAAAACGGAGAAGAAAAATGTCGTTTGAAGACTGTAGAGCTTGGTGGTCTGAAACCGATGGTGGAGCATCTCAAGTCAGAAGAACTGGATGTCGCTGGGAAAGCAGCTTACTGCATAGCTTGCCACGCCCTGGACTCTCCTGTTCGTCTTGGCATCCACATTCTTGGAGGAGTGGCGCTTCTTCTACAGCTCATGTCGAACAAGAATGCAGATGACGGGGTTGTGAATCAAGCTGCACTGGCTCTGTCAACAGTGCTGCAGCATGTTGAGGCCAAGGATGAGTTGTACAGATTGAAGGGGATGAAGGTGTTGATCGACCAAGGGCTGATGAGCGACAGCGTTGATGTTCAGGTATCCTGCTGATTTGACCTGTCTCTCTCGCAAATATCATTTCATTCAAATATTGACGTGGAGCAGGAAAATGCTGCGCGAGCATTGGCGTATGCTATCGAACAAGAAGGAAATCTCAAAGACCTTCGTCGGCTGGAAGGGATCGACAAGCTGATCGAGATGTTAGCTGCTCTTCCGGACACGGTATCATGCCCAATGTTAGCACAGAGACGTTTTGACGGCATGCAAGGATCGGGTGCCCAACGACAAAGTTCGTCAGTCTGTGTCGTTTGCGTTGAGCTTGAGCGCCTTCGACTCGGAGTGCCGCACAGAGATCAGGATGAAAGAGGGGCTGCGGGCCTTGAGCAACTGCCTTGCCTCTGAAGAAGCTCGTGTGCAGGTCCCTCTTTCTCTTCTTCATGTGAATGATTGACACGTGAGGATGTAGGAAGAAGCGCTGATGGCACTTGCCAACTGCGCGTTCGACATCCCTTGCAAGCAGGTGAGAAAATTGGAGAATGCTATAATGAGAAACAAATGACAAAAGGAGTGCGCATGCATACAATGATGATCACCAAGGCTGGTTTCTCAAACTAATTTTAACGCATGTTTTGGATTGCAGACGATTGGTGCTCTTGGTGGAATGAAGAATGGGATTGGCCTGCTCTCGAATGGGGAACTTTCTGTTGTTGCAAATGCGTAAGTCTCGGGGAGGCTGATCGAAAGAAGTGACACAGACTTGCCAGCTGTGTTGCGCTGTCTCGACTTGTATTTGATTTCATGTCTGGCCTGGACTTTGTGGAAGAAGGCGGAGTTGGGCAGGTTCTTCATGGACATTGTATTTTGCATTCGGTTCATCTGACATTTTGTTTCTCTTTCTCTTCTTCTGTTTCTTATGGGGGTTCAATGCTGTCTTCTCTGTGCTTGCTATACTTTGAATTTGAATGTCATCGCTCTTTTTGTCCCACGATTTTCGCTGATTTCATCATCCGTTCGATTTCTGGTCCCTAAACCCAAACGATATTGCTGTGTTTGGCTCCTCCGCTGCCAGCTTGCCAGCGTTCTCAGCAACTACTGCAAACTTTACGATCAATTTGTCGAGTCGAAGCAAAAGCACGTGGAGGATCTGAGTAAGGAAGATCTCGACCAGGAGGCAAAAAAAGCTGCACAAGATGCGCTAGAAAAGTTGGAGATTCCAGATCTACGACTGGGACGAGCCATCCTTGAAAACTGTAAGAGTTGTGCAGAACAAGGTATTTCGAAGGAGCAATTCCAAACTTCGCTCAGATGATGGACAGGAAACGTCAGGGAGGAGATGAGGAAAGAAGAAAACTTTTTCGGCAACATGTTTCGGATGATCAAGCATGAAGATGAAATCGTGAGCGGGATGGCATGTCAGGTTATTGCTATCTTCTTGATCCTTAACTTTCGTTTCCTCTTTCTTCTCATTTTGCCTTCATCCCGTCCTTTCTTTTATTTCTTACTTACTCCTTTTCTCCCAAAACTGATGATATTTTGAATCATTTGCTATGAACTTCTCTGGTCTTTTTGCCTCTCTATTCTTGTTTGAACTCTTTTTGCCAGGCTCTTGCGAACGCAGCGTTCGACGTTGAGGGTAGACCGATGCTGCTGGAGATGAACGCGATACCGGAGTTTGTAAAATGCCTGACTTACAAGGATGTCGATACTCAGGTCTCTCTCAGAACTCTCAGATTCTTGAGACACGAATTTCTTCTATCTGCTGTCTATTCGTGTATATCTTCTTTCTTTGCTTTGCTTTCACGTTTCGTCTTGTTTCTTATAATGCTGCTTTGCGATATGGCCCTCGTCTTCCTGAGGGTCAGTGAGCGACAGAACCATTCGACTATTGGATTGCGTGTCGCAATCAACTCACTTATCACTTCCTCTCTCTCCCTTATCCTTTATTGACATTCGGCACGTCCTGAACCATTTTCTATAGCTTTCCGCTGCTCGAGCGATCGGCAACTTCGCCATGGACTCTTATGGACGGCAGAAGCTGTTCGAGAGCAAGGCCATGGCACCTCTGGTCGCGCAGCTCGAGGTCGATGATGAAAGCGCTGCTGCTGCTACTGCGTCCTGATGTCATTTGTCCAGGCAAAGGATGAGAACGGCAAAGATGCGATCGAGCCACGACGTGCTGCCATCCTCGCCATCGGAAAATGTGCTTCTGATCGCTCGTCTGCTGTCGAGTTGTGCGACATCGGCGCCCTTAGCAAGCTGCTGTCGCTCATGGACACTCACTGGAAGCAGCTTGGACAGGTCCCCGCTGCTTCCTTCTCGCCGCCGCATCCACTTGCTTTCATTGCCTTCTGACAGACACTCACAGGCAGCTGAAGATGCGGTGGAGCGGCTGCTGCAGAAAAGTCAATCAGCGAAGCTGTGGCTGCGAGGAGAAGTCGACTTCGAGGATCGCACGAGTGACGGATGGTTCGACATGGGCGTCGGCCGACCCTACACGTCCCTTACGGACCTGCAGAAAGAGACGATTAACACCAACAGAGAAGTTCTGCTTGCCGACGCCTCTCAGGACAACCGGCTGAAGCAGCTGGTGGAGGAGGTGAAGGGTGAATGTGCCTCCCTCGGCCTCACGCAGATTATCCTCGACAAGCGAGACATTGCGAGCACAGACATCAAGAAGAAGTGTGTGGTCAAGATCGCTGAGATCCTTTCGCAGCGCCTCGGCGGCAGCATCCTCTACGACAAGTACATGGACTTCGGCTACTCCACGGAGATTCAGAGGTGCAAGCAGCTCCGCAAGTCCAACGTGGTGTGGGTGGGCGATCTGAAGAAGGCAGGCTGCCGCCATCGCGCCTTCCTCTTCAAGTACCTCTGCGACCTGGTCCTCCCCTACCTCTGCAGACTCGAACGCACCAAGATCGAGCGCGGGGCGCATGTCGGACATGCCTGGAATGTCGTCAAGTTTTTTGGAGATGTGGATCAGGAGGGTCAGCAGAAGACGTAAGCATGGACCTCCTCCACCAGCTTCCTTTCCCCACCTCCCTCTCCTCCCTCTCCTCCCTCCTTCTCTTTCCATTTGCTCCTGTAACGTCTGCCACAGCTACACGGTGGATCTCATGCACAATGTGGGCTCGCTGTACGAGAACGGGACAGACTTCAACCCAGCAGACGAGTGGGCGGCGAAGTATCAGGTGAAGGAGGAGAGGAATGCGACGATTTTCCTAACAAGTCATCCAGAGGAAGGATGTGTATCACTTCATTTCGCTGGGATGAAGTTGAATCATGGTTTCCTTGTCTTCAGCTCTCGTTCCCTCATCGCCTTGAAGAGCTTATTTGTTTATTTGATGGAACTGTTTATCGTTACAATACATCAGGCATGACTGGGAGGAAACTCAAGTCTGGGATTGTCTGTTGATTTGCAGCAAAGAGATCATCTGCTTCCTGTTTACCATACCGGTAGCATGCGCACCAGACAATTTAGCGAGGAGGGACAACTGAAGGTAGCGATGATTGTGAGTGACATCTTAGCCTAGAAGTAGTAGAGAGAGATACCTGATCGTCCGAGATAGCTTGTTCTGTGATGGGAATAGATCGAACGAGCCTGAAAACGTCTTGAGGAGAAGAGAGGATATGGTACAGAGATCACTGGATGAAACTCGTGAGCACAAGCGCTTCCTCTTCCATCGCTTCCAGCTTCTCAATCAGCACCTAGGCCGCACATCACTCTCTTTCTTGTCCCTCCACGACTGTCACCGCTGCTGAGTCTGCAGGGAGAGATCGGAGGAGCTGACGTGTGGGTGCGCTTGAAGGTCTGCTTCCTCCTGCTGTCTAGCGTCAACCCGCTTTCTTCTCTTCTCCCCGCGTGATCCTCACCAAGTCTTGGAGTCATAAGTCTTGGGGTGCTCACGTACGCTGTTTTAGGCCGAGCAGGGCTTGGCTTTGCGGATGCAAAGGCCTCATCGGGAAGCGAGTTTCGGACGTTTTGGAAGGCTTGCTTGAGGAAGAGAGAGCTCTGAGATGTGTTGGCTCTTGGGGTAACGATGGCTTGCACTCTGACACGACGATGACGAAAGGAACGAGGAAGCAGAAGCAAATCAGTTCACCTCCTTGACTCGTTCATGCTCATCCTTTCTTCTGCTTTCGCTTCTCGCACCTGCATGGATTGTCATTTCCTTGGGACACATTGAAAGATATCACTCTGCTGGTGACTGCTCCAGACGGCCTTGCTGTCACAAGCTGAGAATTCTATAGTCGCAGTGAGATGACAAGCATGAGAAGCACGAACGCAGACCTTGAACTGTTGCATGGCTTCTTCGAACGAACTCGCCCGTGTCCGATCAGCAGAGAACGACAGACGAAGTTTCGGGTTGATCGCTCCTTGCACAGCTTGCGGAGTGAATTGCATTGATCTGAACACAACATAAGGGAGGTAGAGGGCAGGCTCCGGCAAAGAGACGAGCTGTACATAAGATCGCTCTCTATCAGCCTTAACGCAGAAACTTACCTCGGTGTGGATCTCTGGGACGACTGTGCTGATTGCTGCTGTGACCGACTTTCCGACATCAGCTCAGAAAAATGTTTCACAACCTGTTGGAATCAATGAGCATCGCGAACAAGTTATACTGGACGACAAAATGAAGGAACACACTTCAGACGATGCAAACAGAAGTACACATGCATAGTCAAGATGCATTCAACGTCATTCACTATGCTACCTGCTTGTTTCGTCTGATAAGAGCTGTCATCCTTGCTCTCTCCTGCTTGCGTCTTTTGTGCATATCCTCCATGTCCTTTTCTGAGCCCCCGTAAAACTTTCCTGCATCAACGTCACTCATATCCTTGTAGCAGTCATCGGACCTTCTATGAGCACCGTAGCAAGAGGAGCGCGCATCTCGTAGTCCCACTCCTGTCGCGGCGCCTTGGTTGGTCCCATCTTACCACGCTGAAAGTAGTAGGCTCCTGACATAATCCCAGTCATCGTCGGGGCTCCAAGGTTTTCATCCTGTTCCTGTTGCACAAGTTGTCAGACCTCTCGAAGGAGTGGCAGGGGCCGCAAACCTGGCGCCACTCGTTGTCCCAGATAGGGGTTGGACCCAGCTCAGCTGGATTCCAGTTGAAGAGCTTCTTGGGCTTCTTGGGAGAGGATGCACTTGCGAACGGGATCTCTTTGGCTCGCAGTCCAGCTGCTCGGATATTTGAAGCTTGCGAAGGCTTCAGCTTCTGCAAGAAGTGGCTAATAGAAATCTCCGTCTCTGAAGAGCTTGCAAACATCTCCCAAAACTTCTCAAAGGCAACTTCTGGAAGTATTACGTTGAATCTTCCCAGGATGTAGTCCAACTGTTGCTTTGACAGGGTGCTTTTACCATGGTTAGTGGAATACTCGTCGCAAGCCTTCGAAATCAATCAGAGGCATCGCATGCTTTCAGCAATGTGACTGACCTGCTTGACAAGATAGTACTGATCTGCCAATCTACTTGAGGCTCCGGATACAAGGGCGTAATGCGTTGCCATAATGTTCTATAACAATTATCAAAGGATGACCAATATCTGCCTAAAATCCATCGCATAACCTCTACCATGCTCCTGTCCCTTTTCCACTCAAAGAAATTCACAAGCCCTGGCTTGACTCTCCCTTGGTTATGCATGAGACCCATGCAATATCATGGCTTCCTCAACCTTGCATCAGTCTGCCATTCGAAAGCTAAAGCCGGCCACGTGCTATCAAGCTGTACTTCTATTCTCAGCCATCTTTGCCTCACTTCGCGGCTTGATACTCTACCTGTCCTTGGCTGAAAGGCTAGCACTGTTACGGTTCCTAACTTTTCAGGGCGATACCTGACTATCTTTGCAAGTTCTCAGGCATCACTACACTACTTCCTCCCCTCAGCCGTTGAAGGGCCACTGATTTGATCATCTCCGGCCTTCAGCAGCCTCGCGAGCATGACACTGTGACAGCAACCTTGCGCCGGCATAGACTGCTTCAACGGACAACGGCAGTCCTGACACCTGAGGCTTTCTACCCCACCCCATAATCCCCTTGTCAATCCAGGACATTCCGCCCCACCGGATGACCCCCGTTTAGACTCATTCAATGGTATCAAATGGGGTGTGGGTGCCTGCACCCACCCCCATTCACCAGTAAAGCCTGGCCCGCGTACAATTTTGTCTTGCCATGAAAGTTTTGAGTAAACTTTTGTAGAGAAGTTATGCCAATAGTAGTACCGGGTCACCCCTCGCCGGGTCACCGGGTCCGACCGTCGCGCAGGGGGGTGGGGTGGTGTCAGCTCCACCACTCTCTCCTGATTGTCCTCGTACTGATTTTTAACTTAACTTTGAGTAAAGGGATCTACGCCAATCAGGAGAACGGCCGCCATTCCACTGCCAGGCTGGTGGGCCGCCGGGGCCCGGCCGCCGGGCCGCGCTGCGGCAGTGCCCGCCGCGCCCCGGCCCGACGGTGCCGGGCCAGCCGCTGGTCACAGCCACCGTGACCCTTGTGCCTTCAGCGCCGCCTCTGTTTTGATCTTTGAACTTGACTGAGTTCAATCAACCTCGGGCGCGTCAAGTTGGAGGCCAGTGTACTGCCCTTGTGTTGCAAGGTACTCCGATTTGCGCCCGGGCGACTCCCAGCCGTAAGTTCAAGGTCGGGTCACTCAGACTTATTGAGTGGGTAGGGGTACCTACGGGTATGGAATTGAATCCAAGATTAGTAAACAAATGAGGGGGTACTATGCGTTGCAATTATGCGAGGTGTGGTAGGGTGGTGTGAGGTCGGTAGAGTGGTTACAGATGCGTAACTGCTTTTTGGTTCATCCCACCCTCTGCTTGACCTGTTGAAGTACCCCTACTTTAAGGGAACATCCTGAACATTTTTACTTATCATCGTATACCAACCATTTTCCCCCACCCTCCCCGAGTTTCCACCCTACCCCAAGATGGACCTTGAAACACCCTACCCTTGCCTAAGAAACCAAGCTCTCCCCAAAGTACCGGGAAATAGTTTTCGAATGTGGTACCACATAGGTAAAGATATTCGATGAACGCCCTCCATAGTTCTTGATTTAGTCAGACAGTTCATTACTTTAGTTTTATTTGAATAATATTTTTCAGTCAATATTTCACAAGGTAAAATCAACAGTCATTTTAGTAACAGGGTGTCCAAAAGGCTCTATCTACCAGACCAAAAGTCCACCCTCACCCCCTCCTTGACCATTTATCACCCTTACCATATCGGCTGTTCTCAACTACCCCTACCCGGTATTGGAGGCATCCCTACCCTTCTGATCAGTATATAGAGACCGTAGGCAGCGGAAAAGCACGAGCGCGGCCATGCTGAAGACTGTTGGATGCAGGGGCGCCATGCGGTGAGATGCTCTCCTTTCTTGCACCCACAGAAAAAAACATCCCAAGCATTTCAATTTCATGTTTGTATGATGTCGGACATCCCATCATCTTTTGCCGTGGCATAGTCTCGTCAGACTTGCCCCAGTAAATGACCCGGCGCTGCTGTCTAGTGTGTATCCTAGTCGTTCAAGGGCTGGGGGTGGTTTCCTGGCATGGTTACCTTGGTTTCGTATTCTTGTGGTCTTTTTTCACAAATCCTCTCATGCAAGCCAACACCCAGGCCTCTGAGATGTAACGCTGTGTACTGACCCTTGTCTTCGGCAGGGCTCTCAACCGATCTGTATCTCGTACCTTTGCACGTGGTATGGGTGGAAGTGCTTCTGATGCAGAGCGAGCACATCTGTCTGAGAAGCAGAAGAAGCTGATGAAGCTTGAAGATGACTTTGGTGCTCACAACTACCACCCTCTGCCCGTGGTTCTCTCCAAGGGCAAGGGAGTGAAAGTGTGGGATGTGGATGGCAAGGAGTATTATGATTACCTGTCTGCATACTCTGCAGTCAACCAGGGGCATTGCCACCCAAAGATCATCGCTGCCATGAAGGAGCAGGCTGAGACTCTTACCCTCTCCTCCAGGGCTTTCCACAATGATGTGTTGGGACCCTATTGCGAGTTTGTTACCAAGTACTTTGGTTACGAGCGCGTGCTTCCCATGAACACTGGTGTTGAGGGAGGAGAGACGGCTTGCAAGCTTGCTCGCCGATGGGGTTACGCTGTCAAGGGCATCCCTGACAACAAGGCGAGAATCTTGTTCGCGGAGAACAACTTCTGGGGCCGCACCCTCGCTGCTATCTCCTCCTCCACCGATCCTTCCTCCTATGCTGGATTTGGACCTGCTATGCCCAACTTTGACATTGTTGCTTACAACGATCTTGCTGCTCTCGAGAAGAAAATCGCGGAGCATGCGAACGAGTACTGCGCGTTCATGGTCGAGCCGATCCAAGGAGAGGCGGGAGTGATGGTTCCCGACGCAGGCTACATGAAGAAAGCCAAGGAGATCTGTCAGAAGTACAAGGTGTTGCTCATTGCTGACGAAGTTCAGACGGGATGCGGACGTACCGGAAGGACCCTCTGCGTTGAGTGGGACAACGTGAAGCCTGATATTGTCGTACTTGGAAAGGCGTTGTCAGGAGGAACGTACCCTGTGTCTGCTGTCTTGTCCTCCCATGAGGTTATCCTTCAAGTCAAGCCCGGCGAGCATGGGTCCACCTTTGGAGGCAACCCCCTCGCGTGCAAGATCGCCATGGCTGCTCTCAACGTGCTCAAGGACGAGAACTTGGTGGCCAAAGCCGAGAAGAATGGAGAGCTGACCCGCGCCAACCTTCACAACATGAAGTCTCCGCTCGTGACCACCATCCGTGGCAAGGGTCTCTTGAACGCCATCGTCATCAAGCCCACCCAGATCAAGGGCAGGACTGTCACTGCGTGGGATGTTTGCTTGGAGATGGCTAAGAACGGAGTTCTTGCCAAGCCCACGCATGACGACATCATTCGCCTCGCTCCTCCCCTCACGAGCACGGAACAAGACATCAACAATGCTTGCGAAATCATCCACAAGACTCTCAAGTCGTTCGAGTAGACGAGTGACCCTGTATGTATCAACGCTTCTCATGAGGGAGCAACTCGTCCTCCAGTTAGGGCGAATGAGCGCTGGAAATCGTTGAGAGGAGAGGAGCAATGTGCTGATTTCAGCTCGTAGGAGTTTGTAGCATGCGTGCCTCTTCGATTCACTTCAATGAACCCTTCTGTACTTTTTCTTCAGGCTAACCTGACTCCTTCACTACTGCACAAGGCTTTGAATGTTGTCGAACCACTCGTTCCTCTGATGCAGCGTCTCCGCCTCGAACATGAACTCGCGTGCACGACATCGGAAGCGAAAGCGATGCACTCGGCCGCTGCAAGATACTCGTCATGTTCTATATTAGCTCCTCCCCTCCCCTCAATTTCACTCATTCTCCGCCTCTTTTCCTCGGGCTCCTCAGCTCACCTGTCGAGTTTCTCGAGATGAGAAATGTTGCGGAGAGGGATCTCCTTGCGGAGAGAGGAGGTCGGAGACCCGTCTTCGTCGCAGTGCTGATAGAGCATGCTGTCCTTCCGCAGGACGCAGGAAGCTTTCTTGGTACCTCCCATGATGGACCTCCCTCTCTTCCTCAAGAACCCTGTGAGCACATCCTTCGAGTCCTCCCGTGGAAGAGGGTCGGCCTGCTGCAGCAAACAGCAGGGATTCAGCAGGAGGTGACGCTAAAACCCCTCACTGACATGAGACGGAGGTTGAGTCGTGTCGAGCAAGCTCATCAAGTTCTGCTTGGGTGAAGGCAGAAAGGAAGTTTGAACAGACGTGTCCTGCTTGGGAAGTGCCAAACTCCAGGCGAAGTCGAGGAGAGAAGTTTGAAGGTGCTGGTCTACCGCCTCCTTTCCGCTCTCAGTCTCCTGCCCCTGCCCGAGCCCTTCCTGCCACTACAAGTCAACACGCTCAGTCCGCAAAGAGCTGCTACAGAACTGCACAGCACTTGCCTGCTCCCCCCTCGCACATCCAGGTGACATCTGCTGCGACCTGTCGCCGGAGAAGGAGGTCCCAACCACTGCAGCTACAAGTGAGACAAGTGAAGCTGACGGTGGAGGCAAATGAGAGAAAGAAGAGGGAAGAGAGAGAGGAAGAGCGCGCGACGAAGCGAGAAGGAAGAGGGAGACACATGTGGTGTGGATGAAGAGGAACGAACACATGGTCAAATGGTGCGGATGAAGAGAGAGGGTCAAGTGGTTGGATGTACCTGTAGTGGGGGACGAGGTCTGCTGCTTCATGATTAGCGACTCGATCTCCATCTGCATGTCAACGTTGGCGCTCTCGAGCTGAGAAATGTGGTGGAGGAGCTGGAGGGGGTCGAGGTTGTGCACAGGTGAAGGAACTTCGTCCTCCCCGCCCGCTTGCATTCTCCTCCATCGGTTGCAGACAGCAGAGAATGTTGGGTTATCTTCCTCCTCCTCCAACAAGCTCGTCCTGCCCCTCCTGTGCGCGTCAGGGGTGACGTTGCTGTTGAAGTTCTCCTTGTCCTCTTTCGGAGACGACTTCCTCCTCCCCTTGGTCAACTCAACGATCCTCTGCTCCAGCGCAAGGCAGTACTGCCGCAGGTTGTCATGCTCCTGCTTCAGCTTGTTGAGCAGGCGTTCCAGCTCCTCGGCGCTGGGGGGAGGGGAAGTGAGTGAAAGTCAAGCATGGCAGGGCCTCACCTTAACTTCCTGTTCACCTTCACCACGTTCTTGATCGCGCGTGCTCGAGCTCCAAACTTGAGTGCCGTCACGCTCTCCTCAAGGTCCTGCGGAAGGCTCAGTTGTAGACGCGCCGCCTGGCCAAACACCTTCCAGCTCGAGGACGCGGCGATGAGGAGAGTGGTCTTGGCGTTCCCTCCGAGAGAGTTCTATGGACCGTCTTGAGCTAGTACAAGAGGAGAGGAGGGAAGAGAGAGCAAAAGGAGGGAGGGAGGAAAGAAAGGAGAGGAGATAGAGGTGAAGCGAAGGGAAGAGGTGAGACAGGAGAGAAGGGGAGAGAAGGGGAGGGGAGGGGAGGGGAGGGGAGGGGAGGGGAAGGAATGGTATGCATCAAGAGTAAACAGCGGGCTGAGACCTTGAGGAGGAAGGTGAGCTTAGAGTCTCGAAAGGGAATGTGATTCCTTCCGGGCTGTGCCAGAGCAGCGATGCAGTTGCCAAGGGCAGAGAGCGATCTGTCATGACAAGAGTGAAGAAAGAAGCACACAAGGCAATACAGTACAAGTTGATTCTCTTAGCCTCCTCGAACGTTTGTCCCTAAGGAAACCCATTCTCAGAAATCTCCTCCCGCTCCTCCCCCTCCCTCATACTTGTGCACCAGTCCTATCAACTCGCTCAAGCCCTGCAAGGTCAGCAAAGTGAAGCTCGCCTCGTTGCAGGTAACCATCCTGCTGGCAAATAAGAGACGTAGACGTAGCTTCAGGCAGAAAGGGAGTAAGGAGAAGATAGACAGGTAAGGGAGGATGGAAAAGAGAGGATGGAAAGGACAGGAAGAAGGAAGAAGGGCAGGAGGCTCTTGGAAATGGATGCAGAAAGAGTGAGAAAGGCCAGCGGAGGACGACCGGATGCTGCTGCTCAACACGCAGAGAAAAGATGCAATGAGATCTGCTGCTGTGACTATTCATGTTGGTTACTCCTACTGCTCGCGCCGCCATTCCTTTCTTGACCAGATCCATTGCAGCCTGAGACGAAGAGTTTAAGCGAACAGACGGCAGAAGGGAGAAGACAGGGGTCATAGAAAGGAGTCAACGCTTTCAGAAGGGAGAAGACAGGGAGGAAGAAACAGAACGAGGAGGAAGGGTGATCGTGGGGAGTTGCACAAGGGAGGGAACAAGTAGCATGTCGTCGTGCCTCAGCGGAATGGATGAAAGTATAATGAAGTCCCTCGACCCACACCCCGTCGAAGACAGACTCGCGGAGTTTTAGTCTGAGAGGAGCTCAGCAATGAAGGAGAGGAGCCAACGGTCAAACAGACTTGCTGGCAGACGGTCGCAGAAGGTCTCTCATCTCCTCCATGTAGATCTCCAGCATCGATGCCTGCATGCCCTGCCATCACTTGGATATCTGCATCTCCACCATGAACTTAACCCCTCCCTCCTCCCTTGAAACCAAGCTTACATCCTCCCTCCCCCCTTGATGCCTAGCTTACTTCTCCCTCCTCTGTTGACAACACACTCCTCCTTCCTACCTTGACCACAAACATGCTTCCGGAGTCATGGCATGAGATTCTCCTGAAGATCTCCTTCACAGATCGCGGGATGATCCCCTGATCACTCTTCTCTGTCCCAAACATGGTATGTGTCTTGCCAGCCCCTGACTGCCCGTAGGCCAGCACGGTTGCATTGAACCCTTGAAAGAACAAAAACGGTTTCAACACATGACGGTAGATAAAGATGCAAGTTACCATTCAAGACTGAGTCCACAGAGTCCTTCATGACTACATGAAACACCTCCTCTTGGGTTGCATCTTGTGTGAATATCCGATCAAACTGATACGTAGCCTGATCGTTCGCGCTCGAATCTTTTGTGGCCACCGACACTCGAACATCATCCCGTATCATGAAGGGAGAATCTCCATGGTTCGAGTCCGGTAGAGGACGAAAGCGCACTAGCACACGACACCGCTCTGCCACTCCTCCCTCAGCATTGCTGTACGGCGCCACGGGGCTCAAGTGAACGTTGATTTGTTTGAAAGGAGCCATGGTGAGACAAGGGCAAGAGCTGATTTGTCGGACTTGCTTCGGGTGCTTGAAATGGACAGAGGGAAGGAAGAAAAGGCCTCAACCTTCTTGAATAGACTATCCTCTTCTCTCCCTGCCCTGCTCTGTTATCTTCTTGCTTCTTGTCAGCCTCGCCTTCGCTTCCTGCCCCTTGTTCATACACGCCTCTCAACAAAACTTTGAATCAAACTCAAACTTTCAGTTTCCTTTTTTATGAACTTCGGATCCGGAGCCCCATCATCGTCGAGTCCGATACGGTCCGGGCCGCCGCCGGCCGGGCCCCGGGCCGGTCGCCGCGGGCAGGCCGCTCAGCGCCGGGCTGGCACCGCCCCGGTGACCACGGTCCCCGCACTTCGTCGAACTTGGCTTCAGCTCAGCTGTCACAGTCAGGGCCGTTGCACCGTTGCACCTGGTCCGATGCGGCTGACCGTTCCGCCGCACTGAGCCATCGGACCGTTGTCACAGGCTGACTCATCCGAGACTGAGAGTCCGATGCCATGATGGGCCGAGCCGCTGAGCCGTTGTTAATCGTCTCAGTGCTCAGTTCCGATACCGATACCTCTATTCTCATACTACGGCCATGCCTACCGTGACTTGGCAGTGTGAAAGGGCCTCGCCCGCGGCCCGCCGCAGTAGTCAGGTGGTCAGTTAACTTGAACGAGCACTCTATTGGTTTAACAACCACTCTTAAGTTGGTGCCAAGTTGTGCGATGGGCAGGGAAACTTGATGATAACACAAGCAAGCGAGTCAGTCAGCCTGAAGCAACACTGAGTACGGTAGCAGCATTGGGACTCCGGGACTCCGAGAACAAATAAGTTCATCGATGATTCTAGGCTACATTCGTCCCAAGTTCTTGTCAGCCAGATCATTCAATGACTCGGACTGACCTATTCTGATGTACAACAAATTTCCCAAATCCGGTCCACGGTGACTCGTCACTCTCTTCTCACGCTTCTAAGCTCAACCACCACCATGCCTTCAAGATCGTCTGCTTGATCCTTGTAGATCACTGTCCCGTCATCTCTCCGCGTGTTTGCTCCGAGGTCATTGCTGATTCTTCTAGCTGCTCGCGTGCGCGATGGCCTCGTCCATCAACCTCTCCGTCTCAACGCACACACGCCCTCCTGTCCAGGTCCAGCACGTCGTGATCACGTCTTGTGCTCGAGGCGACGGGCATGAGCCCGGGTCTGCAAGGTGGGACGCGCAAAGAGGCTGCGAGTCACGGTCCGGCAAGGGCGTCCTCTTGTAAGGCCATCTGCGTATGCCCAGCCGTCTACACGCGTTCTTGAGCGCCGTGAGGGAGATGCCCTGTAGCAAGTCAGCCGAGAAAACCCTCCAGGCAAGGAGGCTACACACCAGGCTGACGGCAGCATCAGTCTGCCGCATATCGAACAGGCTGAGCAGGCTGTCGGCAGTGATAGCGATCTTAGGCTTCTTGGTATGGAGGGAGAGCTGGGACCCTCTTCTGCGAGGGGAGACGAAATGGGGAGGGGAGGAGGTCATGGGAAGAGGGAGAGAAGGGAGAGACGTACGAGAAGAGAGGATGAGACTACTTGCGGGAGAGGGAAGGGAGGAGAGGGCTGCGAGAGGGAGGAGGGGACAGATCAAGACAACGAATAAGAGGGCTAGAGCAGGAAAAGGAAAGCTCAACGGTTTGCACCGTGCACGTCGAGAAAAGTCAGTTCCCCGAACATGGCCGATATCAACATTAACCCCGACATTCGGACAACCCCGGATGATTTGAAAACAGAAGATTTCGTTTCCTTGGCCCAGCAGACGGAAAGATCCCCCAAGTTTGCCTGCCTCCTGCCGCCCTTAACTTTCAGTCAATGGACATGAGCGAGGTACCTTCACTCGACGCATTCCTTGATAAATCGAATTCGCGGCGCTTCAGAAGGCTGTAATCGTCTCCTTTCGCTTCCTTGTATCATGTTTCCGCTTATGGCCCTTTTACTCTCCACACCGGAACTCCGACAGGCATAACGAAAACTCCTTGCAAACCGACGCCCCACTTCCTGTCCCTGTGGCTGCTGTCCAGGCGCCGAGCATTTGCCCTTCCTCCCTTACACCATCCCCCTGACTCCTCGCATCGTACTCCTTTCCCCTCCTCCCTCTCGCAGCCCTCTCCTCCCTTCCCTCTCCCGCAAGTAGTCTCATCCTCTCTTCTCGTACGTCTCTCCCTTCTCTCCCTCTTCCCATGACCTCCTCCCCTCCCCATTTCGTCTCCCCTCGCAGAAGAGGGTCCCAGCTCTCCCTCCATACCAAGAAGCCTAAGATCGCTATCACTGCCGACAGCCTGCTCAGCCTGTTCGATATGCGGCAGACTGATGCTGCCGTCAGCCTGGTGTGTAGCCTCCTTGCCTGGAGGGTTTTCTCGGCTTACTTGCTACAGGGCATCTCCCTCACGGCGCTCAAGAACGCGTGTAGACGGCTGGGCATACGCAGATGGCCTTACAAGAGGACTCCCTTGCCGGACCGTGACTCGCAGCCTCTTTGCGCGTCCCACCTTGCAGACCCGGGCTCATGCCCGTCGCCTCGAGCACAAGACGTGATCACGACGTGCTGGACCTGGACAGGAGGGCGTGTGTGCGTTGAGACGGAGAGGTTGATGGACGAGGCCATCGCGCACGCGAGCAGCTAGAAGAATCAGCAATGACCTCGGAGCAAACACGCGGAGAGATGACGGGACAGTGATCTACAAGGATCAAGCAGACGATCTTGAAGGCATGGTGGTGGTTGAGCTTAGAAGCGTGAGAAGAGAGTGACGAGTCACCGTGGACCGGATTTGGGAAATTTGTTGTACATCAGAATAGGTCAGTCCGAGTCATTGAATGATCTGGCTGACAAGAACTTGGGCCGAATGTAGAATCATCGATGAACTTATTTGTTCTCGGAGTCCCGGAGTCCCAATGCTGCTACCGTACTCAGTGTTGCTTCAGGCTGACGGACTCGTTTGCTGCCCATCGCACAACTTGGCACGAATAGAGTGGTCGTTACTAAGTAAAACCAATAGCGCCTCGGACGGTGGGCCGGTCGACCGTTCACGCCGGGTACCGTAGTATCCGAACTGACAACCTGACTGAGCACTGCGGCGAGGCCCTTTCACACTGCCAAGTATGAGAAGCACTGAGACGATGAGCCGCACTCAGGCAGCAGCCTGTGACGGTCCCGGCAGCTCAGTGCGGTGGACTGAGTCATCTGCCGCGATCACCGAGTCGACCGTCGGACATAGCCTAGTAGAGCCTCTCGGAGTCCCTGGTCACTTCAGCGGGGCCGGGCCGGGCGGCCGCATCGGATTCGGGACCGCCGGTGCCCGGCACTGCACTGGGCACGGTTCAACGGTTCGGGGCCCGGGGCCGCCCGGGGCCGCTTGAACCGGGGCACCGTGCACTCGGACAGCTGACTCTTGAAGCCTCCCGTCCGCAGAACCGAGTCGGCCGGGCCCCGGGAGGCTCGGAAACTTTGATCGGACTCCGGGACCCCGGCGGTTTAACACGGGCCGGGCGTGAGTCAGTGCGGCGGGGCCGGCCGCCGCCGGTCACCGTGGCTGCCCGCGGGGGCCACGCCCGTGTGACGGTATGATCACGTAGTGTGGCTGGCAGTACCCGCGGCCAGCCTGTGCGTTCGCGAAGTTGGACAGCCGCGCTCAGAGCCTGAGCCTCGGACTGGCGGCCCGGCGCTGCACGCCGCCCAGCCCGGCCCGCGGCCGGGCTGCCGCGGGGGGTGGCCCGGCGCTAACTTAGTAAGACGGTCCACTGGTCGGCGGGTGACCCGCCGACCGACGGTGGCGGCAGCCGTCACAACGGGCCGGTCTCGGCCCGCCGGGCCCCGGCCCCCCCCGGCGAGGCGGCAGCCGCGGCGGCGGTGTGAGGAGGCTCGGCCCGGCCGGTCCAGTCCGGGCCCCGGCACATTGGCAGGCTCCCGGAAGCCGGCACTCAGCCACTGCGCACGGTGACGCGGCGGCGGGGGCCGTACCGTCCGACTGACTGTACCGTAGTACGCGGCCCAGCGGCAGTGGCCCGCCGGGCCGCCCGGCCCGCCGCGACGCCCGGCCGCTACCGGCACGGTCGTGTCAGAGTAGTGAGTCGGCCTGCCACCCGGACCGGAGCTGTAACACTGGTAATGATTCAGTGCCGGACTCGACTCCGGGAGCCCGCCGGGCGACCCGGATTCATTCGAGTCATGGCTCGGATGATGGAATCACACTGAGTGAAACTAAAGCTGTACTAGAAATACAAAACGATGAAACAACTTGGCAAAACATGCCGGTCCCGGTTGGAGGGCTCCGAGGCTGAAAGTTTGCCTCACACGAGGCTGAAAAACAACTTAGATACATCTATTACTACACGAGGAGGTGCCCCATCGCTACAAGTCATCACACAGCTCCCTGCACATAAGGCTGAACTTTCCTCCCATCACCTGCAGCAGCTTTAAGACGGAGCCAGAGCATGTCTATCACACCATACCTCCATCACTATCTTCCAGAGCGGCTTTTCCCAGTACGAGTTCGGATACAAAATGAGTTCCTTCGAGCATGCAGCAGCGACCCATCGCCCCTACTTACAAGTTCAGAATCGGAGAGCAGATATCGGAATAGCAAACCTCCTTGAACTCCCTCTGAAGCTGTCCAGGTTGCCATTGGGTGGCGCTGTAAAAGAATTTGAACTGGCTTGCCTTGGCTCGCTTCTGCTCCACGAGCTTGCTGGCATGTCTAAGATCCGCGCCAAGGAACACCCCGTCGATAATCTCTTCTGATCCTACGACTTCGGAGCAGGAGTGGATAGTGTGCAACTCTCGGTTGGCAACTTGTCCTTGCAATGCCTTGTGGCCCTCCCTAGATTCAACGAGTGAGAACATTTCAAATGAAGATTGAAAGCTCTTACCCTCCGTAGTGTATCGTGTTATCATCGAAGTGAGGCAACTTTTCAGTGAAATCTCCTATGGTGCACGGTGTAGCCTTGTTAAGAATCAGCCCGTAGCTTCCGTGCTCCTGGCTGTGGTGCAGTACAAAGACTACCCGGCCTTCGTAAGCGCGCTGAAAGTCATCGGATCTCATGGTCGAAGGCTTGCCCGTCTCGATCATCAGGCATCCCTGTTCGATGTCCCACAACTCATGGGCCCACAGCCCCGTGTGCAGACTTGCCCGTCTCATCCAAAAAGGCGTCTCAGCCTACAGCTTATCAATCCAAACGCTTCCAAATCAACACAATCTACCTTGATCAGTCTAGAACGGTATTCCCTCCAGTGCAGTCTAGAAGTGGCTGGAATGAACAAGGCATCCTTCTTAGTTGCAATGTCGTCCCCATACAACCCTGCAGGTATCCATCATGAGATGTGAAATTGGGAAATGAGAAACAACAAACTAACCACACTTCAGTGCAGACAGTCCTTTCTTGTTGTTGGGCAATGAAAATAACTTGTCCTTTCCCTTGAAAGTATTTGAGAAGAGCGGTGTAGGCACGAAACCCTCCCTGAGCATAAGACCCTTCGCAGGCATTTCTTGCTCCTTCTGTGATATGACCATTCCCTCACCGGCAACAGCGAGGATAGCTAGTACGAATGCTGCACGAGTGATCATCATCCGCGATCGAGAGGGCCTTCCGACTTAAGTCCTCTTGTTCTCGTGCCACAAGGAAGGGCACTCTCGCGGCAATTGACGTCACAGGATGCGACCCTCACTCCTGAACGACTGTTCCCAACCCCGAGCCGTCGTTATCACCGGATGCACTTTCCCACAAGCAAGGAAGAGAGCGCTCTTGGTCAAGATGCAACCTGGACGATCAGAGTGTGAGTGCAAATGTTGTTTTGCACTTTCGTATTTGAGGTAAGCGCATGATACCTAGCTTACAGATCGAAAACAGTCCAAACAAAGTCTGCTTCACCAGCGACGATTTCAAGCAAGAGATCAGACAAGATTACAACACTACACAATCACAACTTGACAACATGTTGATGAATCCGTCGCACGATCATGGGCTAACATGGACAGTTTCCTTGCAGCGCAGCATACACAAGGTCCTAACAATGAGGCACAGTCAAAATGAGATGGATCAAACTTCTCAAGTTATTCTCAAGTAATAACAGACAATGTGTTTTCAAATGCATCATATCCTGCAGCTGTCTTCAACTAGACGCATGTGTATTTCTCTGTCTCTTCTGCAATCTTCTCTATCTCATCTCTGATGTGTGAACCCGCCATCCTTGCCCTGACCATTACTACACCCGCCCCTTTATTGATTGCCCCACCCCCTACCCCATGGACCCAGCACCCGGGCCCATCATACATATTTTCGCCAACAAAAGACCCCTGCTCACCGTACCCTCTTCACCCCTACTACCCCTAGTGCCGCCCATAATCAATCTCTCCACTTTCCCACCCCACCCAATTCATCACTTTTTTTGCAATGAGCCCGGGGTTCTAGTACCGGTACAACAAATGTCCCCTAATACCCTACCCTGCCTGCAACAACCACCCCAACACTCCCGACTTTTTCTACCAAATGTGTTTGGAGCCTCCACCCCACCCACCCTCCTTTTCCCCCACCAACCCGACTTGCAGGAAGGTCCCATGTAACAAATCTTTCGGTACATAAGGGACACACTACCCCACCGTTCTGTGCCATGTTGGAAACCCACCCCACCCACCCAGCAATCAAGGGCTGCTAGTCTATACCTCTAGCAATGGTGGAAGCGACTTGTGGCCTTAAAAAGCTACTCAGGCCCTACAACAACTTGGAGCTCTTCTACAATACGAAATAGTTCTTTTTCATTTCATTTCCCCCTTATCTTAGGTAGATTTTATCAAATTTAGAGAGAATATTCGTTAAATTACCGGTATTTAATAAGATTCTTCTTATTTGTAAATGTGTCCGAAACTTGGTTGCTTTTTAAGGTCGAAGGGCAAGGGCGGGAGACCTACCGATCCTACCCCACCCTAGGGAATATCTGGAACCCCCCCATTATCCAGGGCATAAACCGGTGGTATCAAGGACAGTCCGCCTCAGTGCGCATGTGGTAGGGCGCAGGGTCTGAAGCGGTGTAGGTTACAATAATTATTAAAAGCTATCAATTTGTACCCAGAGCTACAAATATGACCCCTTGTCCTGGTACTGAAACCTAGCAAGCCTCGTACTATTGGAACCGAGCTCCCACCGGCGGTACAGTTTGGGCACCGGATGGTACTCGAGCTCATAGAGGTGGGTCGCAGTCCTCGAAGCGGGCCTGGTAGACTACATGGCTACCACTACTGTGAGCGGACGGTAGCTCGGGTGGAGATTGAAATCTCGCGGGGTCACGCGACCCAGGGGAGAAAAGAAGAGACACCAAGAGACGGTCGTTTCTTGAAAAAATGAAACAATGCTGAAAAACATGCTCCTCTTTTCGAAATGTACGGTACTAGCTAGAGTCAATTGATTTTTGCTTCAAAAATCAAACTCCCACAACCCGAGGCTATAGTATGCACCTGTGGCTGACGCAAGTTGAAGTAGATGACCGCACACATCCTGAATCTTTAGATACCATGAGCTGTGTTGAATGTTCTCTATTGTAAGGCCGAATCACTTCTGCATGCAGAGGCACGAAAGACTGTGGGTTCTATGGGTGAATGGATTTGGGAATGAAGCCTGGGAGAGGTTTGTCAACCGTGACATTCTAGAGGAGGGAGGTAAGAGAATCGGTTTGGGAGGAAGAGAATAGGGAGGATCAAGGCCGGGGACTGCAAGGAGGAAGGCCCTGAGGCAGGAAGGGAGGGAGGAACGGGAGCAAACAGCTTGTACGCAGCAGAACAAAATTTGTATATTCAGGATCCACAAACTTTGTATATCCATTCTGTATACTTGTTCGATTTCTACACATCAGTGTACACAATGTTTCTCCTCTTGTGTGGATACCGCCATCCAGGAAATGTTCGAAGTCATTGAAATCGCTGTGAATCATCTGATATGACAGAGCAAAATTACTTTTAAACAAGCGATCTGTTCAGTAGTGAGACTTGTATTCATTATATTCTTTGCCGACTTCTTTTTGAGGTGAATTTCTGAGTCTTCTTTTCGCCGCATGGACGACTGTGAATTTTTCGTTGTGAGTTGTTATACATAAAAGGCAGATTGGAATCTAACTTTTCCCGAGACCCCAGCATGCTTGATTCAATCACCCCATGAAATCTTTCTTGTCCAAATGACCTCCTTAACCTACTCTTTCTTCCTCAGTTTTTCTCCCTTCCTATATCCGTCTTAATCTATCGCTGTCTCTGCCAAAGCTTCCAATTTGAGAGGGCGGTGCCAAGAGAGTCGGCGTGGAACAAAACCCACGCAGTATGCGATGTTCCTGTCGGAGAGAGACGCGTTATCAAGATGAAGTAGCGGGGCCCAGGGTTTTGGCAGGCCTGATCGTTTGCAGTTGAGACAAGTTTTGCTGGAAGTCAACAGTCTTGTATTGGGTTATGAATACAAGGAACTTCTTTCTGCGCCCTAGCGATCTCCGTACGCTAGTCTCAGGAGAGCTGTCAGCGAACTGATTGCCCGTAGCTTTTCTTGGAGAATGGGAGGCCGAGATGTTGGAGGAAAACGAGGAGAAAGGGGAAGACGAAGAGAATGATAAGTTTGATTCTGCAGTTCACTTTTCTTCACGTGAAGATTCTTCCCTGTTGTACTCACCTACTGTCTAGCCCCCATCTATGTTGGATAACGGCACGCGTTCATCACCCGGTCGTCATCTTCCTGGATATGGAAAATTGGATAATTTTGTTCTCTATTAATCAGCACGCCTGTGAACGTCTAGATGCTTTCACTCTCTATGGCGAACCGAGTCGAGTCTTTATAAACCCGAATAATTGTCACACCTTTCTAACGATCATACAAACCAACAAGCAACTGAGGAAGAAATCAAGCGCATATTTACGACGGAGATAGTCGAAACTTGACAAGAATTTGATGCTTGTCGTCCACCTTCAGCAGTCGAACCACGAAAGCACTGAAGCGAACGGAATTGCTTGGTAGTGTGCTCCTTGCGTAAGATCCAAGGACCTTCTGATAGTCTCGCACACGGACCTCGAGGTTGTACTTTGCTGTTTCACACGAGCTGGGACCATGAATGATTGTTCGTCATTGTTTAACGGTATTCACCAATAGAGTCACTCTATCTGACCAGGGGCTACATGCGGATCGAGTGCTGCAGCCACTTTGGTCAGGAACGAAGCAGCCGGGCACCTGAGGAGAGGAGACGCACTTGAAGTTTCTCTTGTCCATGGTATAGAGGACCCATGACGAGTGTTCAAGGTGCCATCGAAGAAGGCAGTAGGCTCGTCGAACGTCTAGCCGAGCTCAGCCGCCTCCTCTACATCGAGGCTCTGCATCAGACTTGTGCCATGTTTCGCTCCTGCGTGATTTTGGCGGGAACTCGAAAGGTTTGTGGGTACGCGTACCACCCCACCGTGCCAGCATCACACGACCACCCCCATGTAACCCCCCAAAACCACACTACCCGTACCACGAATAATCCGATCAGCTGCAGTCTCTCAGCTATGGAGGCGCAGGAGTCGATGGGAGCAGGAGCATGGCTGGGAGGAGGGGGAGGAATCAGGATGGCACCGCCCAGCAAAGACGTCATGAGGATATTCATCTCCACTGACAATCACCTCGGACATGCTGAAGACAACGAGATGCGGCAAGACGACAGCTTCTTGGCCATGGAAGAAGTATTCCAGCGAGCTACTGGATGCGAGGTTCTCGCCAAAAGGAACAAAGATCACTCACTGACTCTTCTTCAAACAATCCAGGCTGATTTTTTGCTGCTTGGTGGAGACTTGTTTGACAAAAATAAACCATCGAGGAACACTATGGTGAAGAGCGTGAAGATGTTCAAAAAATATTGTCTTGGAGAAAGGTTCACCATGTTTGGGTTCAGAAATCCCTATGAAAATTGACTTTGTTCGGAAAGGCCAGTCGCTTTGCAACCATTAGCATTGGATTCGATAGGAGACAAGCATCATGTATGCTGCATTGAATGAAATATTGGGGTTGACATTTCAAATCACAGGGTGGCTTTGTGAATTATGAGGACCCTTGCATGAATGTATCATTACCGGTATTCTTTTCCTTGTGACTTAAAGCAAGAGCAAGTTTTTGTTAAGATAGCGGATTTGTACGCAAATAGGTGTTTATCATACACGGCAATCACGACGATCCGGCTGGCAAAGGCAGTTATTCTGCGTTGGACGTTCTGTGGAATGCTGGGCTGGTCAATTACTTTGGCAAGCAGGTAGGGACCGATTGCTATTTCCCTGACCATGACAATTGTTCTACTCTACACCATGAACGTGATATGCTTTGGATTTTCATAGCAAGACGTCGAGAATGTCGTGATACGACCAATCTGCCTGAAGAAGGGAAATGTAAAGATTGCACTATATGGACTTGGGAACATGCGAGACGATAGATTGTATCAGGTGCATGCTTACTCTACCTTTTTTGCATCATTCCTATGACACTCTCTTCAAGAACTTTTGTAACCACAGGGTAAAATTTGAGCGAGCCGGTAGACCCACCCTGAGTCAAGGCAGGGAATGCAATCTCACTTGCATTGCTCTAAAACAGAACCCAAGGAAGAGTATTTTCATCTAATGGTCATACATCAGAACAGAGTGCGCATATTTCATTGTCGCTAGCGTTCTCATAACTTATATGCAGTTTCAACGTTCACAACAAGGGAAAGATTACATACCAGCGAACCTTTTACCTGAATGGTTGCATGCGATAATTTGGGGGCATGAGCATGAATGCAGAATAGATTTTGAATCCGAACCTAGCGGTGATTAGCTTTTTGTGCGCCTTAGCGCTTGACTGTCTTTCGATCAGCCAACAATGGAACAGTTCGAATTTCTCAGCCAGGGTCAAGCGTCCAGACGTCGCTAGTTGCTGCAGAATCTATTGTAATTTGTTTTAAGGATCCCGAATTGCCTGTTAGATATGTAAGACATTTCTCTTTTTTGAAGCCCAAGCATATGGCAGTTCTTGATATTCGACTTGGAAAGCACGGCGAATATCAGACTAAGTATCAAATTGATTCCGAATTCTACTTTCTGACGTTTTGTCAAGGCATGTCAAGATCAGACATCAAAATGTTCGGCCGTTCATATACGAGGAGTGTAACCTTAGTCTCCAAGATCCGAAACCTAAACAGAATGAGGAGGGTGTGAAGGCGTTTCTGGTTGAAAAGGTACCTGGTTTGTCCAAGCTTGCCAACGAGTGAGTTCATGACAGATCGAACAAATGATTCAAAGAGCAAAGGAAAATAATCCAGATACCCCTGAATGTCTGAGGCAACCTCTAATTCGATTGAAGGTATGCTCACACATGCCATTCCTACTTGGTAATATCTGTGTATTTATGCAGGTAGAATACACGGATTATCCTATGTTACATCCCAGGGGGTTCGGGCAGGTAAAAGTTGAATAATTGCAGTCGCATGATCGCTCAAGCACGAAACATGCGAAGATATTTGCAGGGAAGACCTTGTCCAATTGGAAAGTTGCAAATCCGTCCGATATGCTCTTGTAAGAGATTGCATCCCAATATCACTGTTTTGCTCGGGTGCAGGACGTATTCACTTGAAGTCAGGTTCTGGCGCAAATCAAAAAGACTGAAGCAAGAAGAAACGTCTTCCCAAAGACAAAATCGACCCGTGGAGATCCTTGAGGTTTTTGGTGGCCTAACTTACAAGTTTAATTCATTTATGACAGGGAGTAGACATGAATACGCTCATCGAAGAAGAATTGGAGAATATGGAAAAGTCAAAAAAATCCGGATTGCAGGTTAGGTCTGATATCTTGGGAGACTTGTGCTGACGTAGTCTTTGCAACAGCTTCTCTCAAGAAATGAGATATTAAATGCTGTGAAGGAGTTTGTCGATAAAGATGAAAACAAGTCGATAGGAGGCATGGTTGCTTCGACAATGAAAGAGGTCTCTTTCTGCTCGATGCCTGACAATGACCGAAACTTAGCATTTAGCAAGAAAAACTCGTGAAATGTCTAATAAGACTCAAACTGAAATTTTTGATAGTTGGAAGAATTAGTTGGGAATGCCGAAACCTACAAAGCTTTCGAAGACGAAAATGATTGCTTAGAAAAGCTGAAACCATTCTTGGAGCAAAGGTTATCTCCAATACCCTGATATCAAATGAGCACAGTGTAATTGTCCCCTTCTGCAGGCAATCAAAGAAGCAGTCGATGGGTCATGTGATAATTATTCAGACTTACACTGTACGCTAATGCTGCGCAAATTAGTTTCACACCGAATCCGCTGAAAATATTTTATTGGTCACCGACGATGTTGCATTTTCGTTTATTGATGTGTTTATCAGACCGTGAAATCGTCAGAACAGATGGACTGTGAGGATCATCAGAATGCTTCTGATCCAGACTTCCCCGAACAAGGTATCTTCTCCTGCTGCTGGGACTTGACAGACTTGGAAGTTACGACTTACGACTAGGTCCTTCAAGAGGACAGGCTCGAGGGAGAGCGAGAGGAAAGACAGCCGCTACAACAACTAGAGGGGGACGAGGAGCCCGAGGTGGTAGAGGAGCTGCGGCCACGTCGGCAGCGCGTGGCAAGCGCAAAGCTAGATCAACAAGGGACGATGACTCGTCCGACTCCAACAAGGTAGAGTCTCCAGTCGACGACCAAGAGCAATATGTATCCTATGGCGCCAAAGAAAAGAAACCCAAACCACCCTCTCAGAACCGAAAGCCAGCGTCTTTTGGTGTGAAATTCAATCGTATTGTGAAATTGAGATGATTTTTCTTACAGGGAAGTCTGCACTTGACGGAGGGGTTTCTGGAGAGGAAGAAGATGTCAAAACCACCCAAAGGTCGGCACAGAAGGGTGAACCAACCACAGGCAAAAGGAAACCAGCTGCAAACGATACGACGGTGACCGATTTCATTCAGCTTGCAAGTTGTTCTCATCGAATAACACAGGGAGACGGTCGCAAAACCAAAGCAGGTCGATGGGGAAGCATGAAGTAATAGCCTTGTGAGTTACGCGATATGCGCGTGTGAAAATTGCAGACTCGAGCACTGATACCTTAGGATTCGTGAGAACGGTACGAACGAGAAAGCTTGTCAGTGTTTCCAGTTTATTCATCACTCAAGTCTACGTCCATAACACTCGTCGGCTTCGTCTTGTGTCCTCTCTCTCAGTCTTCTCAAGCCTGAGCTGATCCCCACACCACCTTGCCAAATTCTGGGCGAGTCTTGAGCTGCTCACGCACCCACTTGACAGCCATGATGATGGAGTCCGGGACAGGGCGTGCGGTCATCGGAGCACTGCCGATGTCGAGGTAGCGCACGGAGCCATCCTCCTTGATGAAGAACCAAGCAGGCTCGCTGAACTTGTGCTTCTGCTCGATGTAGTTGGTCGGGTCGCTGATGAAGAGTCCCAGCTTCTGCATGGTCGAAGGCTCCAAGCCGTAGGCGACATCGAAGGAGATGCCGCAGTTAGCGACGGTCGTCTTGGCTTCGGGCTCCTTGTCTGCCGAGATCGCGATGACCTTGACGTTGATCTCCTCGAAGGACTTGAGGGCTGCTTGCAGGCTCTTGAGAGTGCCCTGGCAGAAGGGGCAGAAGTTTCCACGGTAGAACACGACGAGGGTCTCGGTGTTCTTGTAGGGGAAGGTGACCTCTCCTCCTCCGACCTTGGGGAGAGTCAGGGAGGGGAAGGCGCTGCCAGGAGCAAGGGAGGTGTGGGTGGATGGCATGGTTGTTTGCTGCGACGTCCCCTCCCTATCCTTCTTTTATATCAACCGCATCGGGGGGAGGGACATGACCATTGCGACCTGGCTTGTAAGGACCGGTGCATCAATCCAGAAGTTGTGGGGTAGGGGGTGATCTCATTAGCAACAGTGGTTGCGGCATAAAACAATTTTAAACATCTTATCTTTTGTACCCTACTGTTTATAAGGAACCTCGAAGTGGATATAGGGGGTAGGGTGTCTCTTTACTGCTATCTTTCAAGGAGCATGTAGGTCGGGGTCTTGAACCGTTGCTTCTTTCGGGCGGCTTAGTAGGGCGGCTTCCGGGCCCAAGGCCGATAGCATGATAGATAGACTGAGATAGATAGGCTACCGTCGAACATGAACTAGTACGACGGCCGGGCGGTCCGCCGGTCGACAGTCCGATCCGGCGTGATCGCATCCGTCAGTAGCCGCCTAGTAGGTCGCTGATCATGAGTGGCATCGGCACGGTAGCTTATATTCGCGAGTTGCCGGGAAGCGGCTGGAGGCTTCAACACAGATACAAACTTGAAAGTTACGGAGTACTAGTCAGTTAGGAACTCAGTCCGGAAGCATGTCCGGAGTCCAGTGGGACTCTCAGCTTGGTAGCCTCATACCCCGGCGCAGTGAAACTTCGGGACTCGCCCACTGGGTCACCGGCCGGGAGTCAACTTGTCCCCGGCGTTGTCATGCATGAGTCGTAAATCACCCTGTCCTGGGGATATTCAGTCATAGAAGGAGGCCATGCTGCTACCGGCGGGGAGAGCATCAGAGCAGCTCGATACTCTTCCTCGCACGCTGCCGTCATGTCGCTTGTGCTGGGCTCGGTGACGTTGGGATGACGATAATGAGGCTGAGCAGCGAGCAGAAAAGACCTCAGCTTCTGCAGCGAGACACCGGCTGGTTGACCATCTCGCATAACTCGTCTCCCTCGAACCCAAGCGTCCGATAGCGTCGAGCCCGATCCTGGAGCCTGAGACCGACTGCCGAGCACGAGGAGACTGAGGGGGTCCGTGCGAGGAAGCAATGCTAGCGATGTCAGGTCCCACAAGGTAAGGTCGGCCTCCATCCCCTCAGCTATCTCTCCTGCTTTGCCTTTCATGCCCACGGCAGCATATCCGTTCGCACTGGCAAGCTGCAGAGCAGTCTTGGAGGGAAGAGGCCAATCTCTGTACTCCGGCGACGAGACCGTCTGCAGGATGGTAGCAAGTTTAAGCACCTCGAGCATGTCTTGCCCGTCTGAGGAGCACGAGCCATCGCATCCGAGCGTGATATTAACGCCAGCATGCTCGTACTTCTGCAGGGGCATGATACCGCTTCCTAATCTGAGATTGCTCAGAGGGTTGTGAACTATGCTAGCTCCGCACTCCGCCATGATCGAAGCTTCCTCGTCATCTAGCCAGATGCCATGAGCACAGGATGTGCCGGGGAGTTGGAGGAAGCCAAGGTCACGCAGATGTTTGACTGCACTCCCTGAAGGAAACCATTGTCGCGCCATCATCGCCTGTGCTCTCGTCTCAAGCAAGTGAATGTGTCCTCTCAGATTGTACTTCTTCCGGATCTCAGTCGCAGCTGCCAGCAGCTCCGATGATGCATTGTAAACAGTGACGGGCCCAATCACTATCTCAATGCCTTCATCTGGAGCATGAAAACGCGTCGCCGCGTCCTCCCACAGCCTTATCACCTCCTCTGTCTTCTTGACATCTCGCTGCCCCCGCTCGGTTCGGAAACTTCCGTCCCCCCGCATGCCCCTGCAACACGAGCCGTCCTCCCGCATCTTACCGTTCCTCTCAGCAGCATCTGGTACTGTTGGGATGTAGTTGGAGTACATGTCGGCGTCGTCCCCCAGCATGGGAGCGATGAAGGCGCGTATCCCCAACGCCTTGTAAGCTTGCACTGCTTGCTCGAGGTCCTCCAGGTTTCTGATGAGCAAGTGATCGAGGACCACCGTGCATCCGCTCATCAAGGCCTCTACTCCACAGAGCATGGCAGACAGGCCGATGGCTTCTGCAGGCGTTGCACTCCAGCTCTCCTCTTTGAACCATCCGCAGCATCCTCTTGGCTCATGACGGATCAGCTGCTGGACCCACAGCTCAAGGGGCAAGGGTCGGATCAGACCACGGGCCCAATGCTCAACAGAGTGAGTGTGAGCATTGACAAAACCTGGGAGAACCATCCTCTCGCTGCAGTCGATCGTCTCCGCAGCTGATGCAGCCATGGAGCAAGCTTCGCCTATTCTTGATATCTTCCCCCCGCTCAAGAGTATATCTCTCCTTTGGTACCTGACACCATTGAAAACGTCAGGTGCGGCAGGGAAACTGCGATTAGTGCGTCTTACTCTCCGTATCCAGTAGGTAGGAGAACATTATGAAGAATCGTATCTTTGGCTCCCTCTAACTGCGACGTGGAGTGCAGGTAATTATGAACATTCCATTGTTCTAGAAACAATTTAGAATCAGTCAAGATCAGTACGACAGCATGCTGTTTCACGCATGTATACATGTTTCCTACTAAAATCATCGTTTAACTTCGTCCCTTCCCGCACATGCCTCCCTGTCCTGGCATACCTTCTACCATTGCGCCCTTTTGCATGTTTACTCTTGTGCTTGTGTGTAACACCGTGGCTTTAACACCGTGGCACATCTGGTACCACATCCCCCCACATACCCGTCCAGTCTTTGTGGCAATGTCACGGGGGTGGAACTACTATATTCGATCTCATCCGCGGGCCAACCACTGCCTCTAGCCCATACCTGGTACTAATTTTCAGTTAAATACCCCTCCCATCCACCGCGATGCACATCGAGGGCGGTGGTCATGCAGGGGGTATAAGGCAACGATGCAAGATCTATGACGCGCCATGGGGAGAAATTCAAATCCGAATTTTGGCGGGCAATCTGCTCTGCATCCTTGCCATGAGCAAGACGACAGCAGACAGAGAGGAATGCCCTATTTGTAAGACGAGATAGAGTACGAACAGTATTCGGACGATCCCTGAACACTGCATCAAAGCTTGTTCACGTTGTCGACGGGCTTTCAAAGACATCGACTTGAAAACTGTACAGGATTATGCAGTGTTCACTGACGCACTGGTGCTGAAATTGTTACATTTTCTGCAAAACATCGGGCACGCAACGTTGAAGATAAGCGACGCGGATGATAGCTTGCTACAAGTAGCGGCTAGTTATCTCAAGCTGAGCCAGCATACCATCAACACTTCTCATGTACGAGCAAAGTTGACGCTTCTAGGTGACCTCTTTGGACAGAATGCAGAGGGCGTCAAAAATTGTTTCCTTCATTACTTCACCTCGTTTCAACAAGGAGCAGATTCCAAAATGCATCATGATCAATTCCAGCTGCACATAGACGCGCAAAAGCTTCGAAGTCAAGTAAAGAATCATCGGCAAAAGCAAAAGGCATTGTGTAAGAAAATCAGACATTGGGCCACTTCGCACTATGACACTGTTGACGAGCTACAAAAGCAAATACACGATTATCACTCAAGGTAACCAGCGAGCTGGAATGCACCAGAGCACTGACATGCCACATGCAGGTATGTAAGGCCTGAACATATTAGCCAAGACCAGAACAGCAATATCAAAACAGCATTCTCTCTCCTCGCACATACAATGTGCGAGAACTTCAAGTCAATGCCATTGGAGGATAGACGTGATTTCATCCGAAGCATTCTTGAAGAGCATGAGTCTCTTGAAGAATCCAATGACGAAAGTCCTACTGCCAAGTGCTTTCTCACCATCTGCCATGTTGAAAGGGCGATGGATAACCTCCGTTCTGCTGAGCTTCCCGACATAGTTTCAGATATCGTAATGTTCGCCAGTCAGGAAGGAGATGGCATGAAGAGCAAACACCAAATCATGCCATTCATAGTGAGCGACTGGATACGACAAGGCTTTCGAACAAAGGACACTAGAGGCATGCGATACTCTGAGCAAGTCATGAGTTTTGCTGCATCAATTTGGAATGTCGGCACCTCAGGTCTATATCGCTTGCTCACAGGGCCGGGGAACAAAAATACTGGAACTTTTGATACGGACCAGATGTTACACAACTTACCTCTGCCATCCACATCCACTCTTCAGAAACGAGATAGGCATCTCATGAAACTGCATGGCAATGATAGGTCCAGAGTGTGCACATTTATGATGGATGAATTCCGTCGAATGAATCCTGAGCATTGTCAGACTGGAGTGAATTGTTGTGCGATCGACAAAACAATGATAAATGCAGGATTTTGTTCTGTGTTTGAGGAATGTGAAGCAGATCTGGGGGGTATAACAAGTCATGAACCTGACTTGGCTCAGCGACTTGACCTGCTTCAAGATCGCAAGGAAAAGTTTTGTTTGACAGGAAAGACAGAACACTATATCAGCGAACAGCTGGTTGGCATGTTGAGATCCGATCAACAGAGTGTGCATCAGAGGAAGGGTGATATGGAGCAAGCATACAAGAAGGTTCGAAATGCATTTGTTGCCAAGCATAGAACCGGAGGCGAATCTCCAGAGGATGTCAGGTTCACACCACATCAACGTTACCTCAAGACAGTAATTGAAGGCTGTGAACAGATGGATGTAGAAATTCCTCGATTGATAGGAAAACTGGAGGGAATGGCGAATGGCGATCTGCCTGTCAACGAATCAGAACTTCAAAACGAGTTGTACAAGTACAATGAGAAATTTTACAAGCATACAGTTGCTGGACTGGCTGAAGATGCCATCAGTGTGGTTGCACAAGATGGATGTGCGAGCACACCCCCTGTCCCCATGTACATTGGTTTTTCAACCAAAACGGTTTAAGTGCCAAAAGTTTAAGTGCGTGGGGAGAAGAAGCTTTTCAACGCAGAGGAAGGAACACGGGACAAAGAGAATGAGTGCAGGTCCCAACCTCGATCTCGGAAACGTATACATACTCAATCTTTGGATACACGAGGAGGATTCACAGGACAAATGCCTAGATTTCAGGGTTTACGAACTTTGTCTGGTTGTAAGTCTACGGAAGAAGAGATAGAAAGGACAAAATGTCAAACATTAAGACGTGTACAAAGCGAACAAGTATAGAGAATGACAATTTGTATGTATCTCTAAATACAAAATGTTTGTTTTGCATTGTACAGATTTTCATTCTTGAGATATTCATCCTCGAAACAGTTTGTCGCGGGATCGCCATTGCGATTCCCAACAAATTCTACTACCCCACCCCTGTAAAAAGGATTGAAAAATGTCCGGCCGGGCCGGGCCGCTCCGGCCGCCCTACTATGATGCTGTGACACGGTACTACGGGTCACGCGGCGGTCCGATCAGCGGCGGGTCGCCCGGGGTACTAAGCGCCCCCCGGCCCCCCCCCCGGTACTATAGTACTGGCTCGGCCCCGGGCCAAGTCACTAGGATGCGGGCCCGCGTCAGTGAGTCAGTACTAAGGCTAGTACCGGGGGCCCCGCGGTGACCGTGGGCCCGGGCCGCCCGGCCCGGGGCCCGGCCCACGCCCACACTGTGGGCAGGCTTCGAGCCAAAACGGACCGGATGAGCCTGGCACTTTGAGGACTCCGGGACCCACCCGGTACGGTAACCGTTGGGCCTCCGCCGGTTCCGTTCCGACGGTTCCGAGTTCCAATTCCCTTCTGGAATTTTTCACGTATCGAAAAGGGTTCTTATTCTCAAATATTTTGATTTTACGGTTCTGAAATTTTGAACTGTCACTGAAAAAGATTCTGAAATATTATTGTCTAACGAAAAGAATCCTTTTCGCAGGTTTGTGGGTCTTGATTTTCGCGCCAGTTTGAAGCTCGTCTGAAAGTATTTCAATGCTCTCAACACTACCCGGTCTTTTTAGGATCATGTACCCATTTCAATGTCATCATCCCAAGCCGAAGTTCTCTTTGAGCTCTGATTTCGACCTCCGAAAGCTCAAGCCTCCCCAGTCTAGCACCCCTCATGGAAAACAGCGTAACTATCGCCATGCAACTACTGCGCCGCTTTGTCTGGTCTGCTCGGAGAAGCCTCCATACAAGCCCCTCAGGCCTTCACCCGCGAGTACACTCCTTCACCACAGCTACTCATGCATCATCTCGCTATCACTCCTTCACCACAGATACTCATACATCATCTCGCTATCACTCCTTCACCACAGCTACTCATACATCATCTCGCTATCACTCCTTCACCACAGATACTCATGCGTCATCTCGCTATCGCGCTTCAACATATCTCAAGCATGCGTGTGAGTTGCTGGAGATTAAAGATCCGAATGGGACCGCCTATGTCGTTGCACTAGCGCTGAATGATAAGGATGCGGAGAAGCAGCTGCAGCTGCAGAAGGCGGAGAACTATCATCAGATTATTGTCAACTACTACAAACGGCAAGTGTCATACATCTCTCAGAGGTGAAGACTTTGTTTGCCATGGTGTGGCCTCTACTGAATGATTGCACAAACACAGGTATCTGGTTGAGGATCTTTTTAGGAAAGCTATGGATATCATTGCCAACAGTGAGGACGGCGGCGAGGAGATCAACTCTGTACAGAAAGGCTTGCCGCGGAAGGACTTGGAGCTGATGATTCAAAGACAGCTTTCTATGCGCTCCATGAACAGGCACTTGCAGACGAATAATAGCTTACGACTGGCCGTATGGAAACGGATCGGGTTACCAGAGGACCTTTTGATGCCTGGTTTATCAGAGGAGAAGATGTTGTATGGGTACCTGTCGGAACACATCCATGGACCGACGGGGCTGTTTGTGTTTTTATCTTCACGTACAGCTAAGGAGGAGATCAGATTTTTCAGCGAAGTTGCACATGTTTTCAAGAAGGAGGTGGACTTTTTCGATGACGCGTCAGCAGAAGAGGGAGAGCTGATGGAGACTAAATCTATCCTGGAAAAGCATAGGCGAAAATCTGAGGACGACAGCGAGCCAAAGCCATGACTTGAACAGGATCAAGGTACGAGTCGATATATGCTTGCTGATTACTGATGATGTTGCCCGCAGAGTCTTTCTGATGTGCGACGCCGAGATAGCAGCTTAGATCATTGCCAGTCTGTTGTCGTGTTGTACCCTTTTGTCTTAGTCATGAATTCGTCGAATGACGCAAACAAATCTGTACTGTTGCTTGCTTGAATGATGTGGCATCCACAACTAAGGCGGTATCCGAGGCAACATCTCCCCGTGACGGCCCAAAAGAGCGGAACAATATCAAGAGAACCTTTACAACGAAGAGACAAGAGAGACCGTCTCGCATCATGGCATTGAACCGGATATAAAGAGCACAACTGTATAAAGAGCTTACTTTACTCGCACAACCCCCGTGTGTGGCAAGGAGACTTTCACAGAGTCAACCGCCCGGGGCGGGCCCGGTCTGGCCCGCCGGTGGTCACCCGGGGCCCCGTCGGAGAGGCCGCCGGCCCGGAGGACGGTTAAAGATCCGAGACTTAAAGATCAGTACCACTACGCCTAGTCAAAGTCACTCGGAAAGATCCGAATCGGAGGCTCCGAGGCGGCTGACTGCAAACGACTGACCTTTGGACTTCGGGGGGCAATTATTCGTGACTTGCTGACCGCCCTCGGCGTTTGCCGCTCCGATCAGCTGAGATAGTTCTGAGGGGGGCCCGTGAAATCTTTACAACTCGGAATCAAGCGAGATATCTATCTCCGACCCGAGGAGATCCGATCGGAGTCTCGGGAGCCCTCAACTCAAAAGTTTCAAGGTATCGCTTCATGCGTGTGGAAAAATGTTTTTTTTAAGAAAAAAAATCTCGGAACCATCGATCACCGATCATCCGGGCTTGAAGGGCTGCCCCGCATGAAATTAATAGAGTCTCTCCTATTTCTTGATTACTGCCCTCGCTATCTCACCTCCCGGGTGTCACGGGCTACCAACTTTCTACCTGTCGACGGAGTCTCGGAGACTTGCAATGCACTTCCGCAATATCATCACCCTCATACTCGTTTGATCCCTTTTGACACCACCTACCCCTCACTTTTCCATCCTTCTTTGAGGGATTTCATGGGTGCTCACCGGGTCAATGCTTCATTTCAAGGGGCTCGTGACAACTGCCCGAAAAACGCGTGACACCTCTCAACTAAGAGAGATTTTTACTACAGCACAGTCACGGCACTCCCGGGTAACCACCAGTAATTTGTACCAGATACTGGGGAGGGGTCATTGTAAGAGTTTGTTCTGGTACCGGAGATGACATGCCAACGTGTCAGCATCCGTCGGTACAGCAAAGCTCTAAACGGGTCCTGTTGTATAGGAAAACACTGGGTACTGAGCGGATCCTAGAGGGTGGTGACGGACCAGCTCCGATGGGAGGAGATATCCTGATAGGTCGAGGGATATCGCATCTGACTTAGAAGCTGACTTAGAAAATCGAATGTGTAGGGACCTGAGTTATATCTTTTAGTCCGTCCCTTAATAGACTTCAACTCCTCGGATCGGTCGGAGTCGCAGAAAAATTGCCAGGCACGGCATTAGTGGGGTGGTGCGGGTTATGCAGAAAATTCCAAAGTCAGAGGAGGGGTGTGGTTTCCTAATCCTTGATGGTGAAAGTATGGGTAGGTATACACAAAAGGAAGCAATGAGGTAGGGTAGTGGAATTACCCGATCGGATTTGGCCGGACCGGAGTGTCCGAGTGGGATATGCAAGACAGAATCGGTGGAAACCGAATATGGTACTGGTAAAATAGGGGGTAGGGGGTGGTCTCGGGAGGCGTCCGATTTCGTATACCAGAGACCAGTTCCGAGGGGGTACTGGAAACCCCGGTACCCGTGATTTGATGCTAATATAACGGGGTAGAGCTTCGCTCGGAAAACTCGGCAGGATGACAAGATGCAACGATTCGCATTCGGGAGTAGGAGACAGGGGTGGGGTAGGGCGGAAGGGGGTGGGGCCATATAAGTGGTATCGACGTGACACACGTTGGTCACGATCGTGGGGTAAAATGAGCGGATGCAATCGGAATGGGGTGGTGGTGGTTTGACCGGAAATCAGGATTGCAAGGGGTGGGTACTGAGACTCTATGAAAAAGACCCCTAAAAAATACGACAAAGGTACCGGTACATTTGATGAAATGCACACATCGTACGACGTGGTAGATAGGGTGCACTGTGTTGAGGGGTGGGGTGTATAAAGGGGTTAGAGAGGGGTTATTCCTGTGAGGCAGGTGAGCTTTCGGAAAAAAGCGACGGAAACTATGGCGGCAGGAGGCGAACCGATTGCAGCGCGCGGAAGAAGAAAGCATGTCACGAATGTTTGCGAGCCATGCAGGAGATCGAAAGTCAAGTGCGACGAAGTTAGACCCTGCTCCAGATGCCTTCGAAATGGCCACGCGGAACTATGCTTGAGCAGGAGCACGCACGATCCCAAACTCGGAGAAACTTCACCTCTGCATATGACCCATTCCTTAATGCCGGAGTCAGCCCAGCGCATTCCTTCAAGCGTTCTCGAAACTCTCAATGGATCCCTTTCGTTGGTTCAGCATCAAGTGACGGCAATGAGCTCGAGCTCTGAGGCCCTTGCGCACAATTCGTCACCTCAGTCCTTCGCTTCTCCAACTTCAATCTCTCCAAGCATGTCAGCTGCACAGGTCCTGCAACAGCACCCCCCGACCCTGAATACGGATTTGTTTCTTCCCCAGCAAAACTTCCAGCAGCAGCTTCAACTGCAACTACAAATCCAACAGCAACTTCGGGACTTGCAGCAAAAGCAGCTCCAACTCGACATGTTGCAGCAATGCAATCTGATCGCACCCAAGACAGAGCCCAGAGGTATCGATCCGTTGCTCTTGATCCAGCAGCTCCAGGCGAAGTTGAGCAACAACGTTGCCCACGACACAAACGTCAATCCACAACAACTTCAATCCAACATCGCTGGGTTGTTCTCGCATCAACAGCACTTTGTAGGCCAGGAAGAGCCCTCCAATGCCGACGAGGCCGTTGCTTCACTGGTGGCTCTACGGAATCCTCAAGATCAATCTTCGTTGGAGCATGAACGTGGGGCGGGAGAGGAGGCTCGCAAACGTCACAGAATCACCACCAAGAGAGCTTGTGACTCGTGCAGACGTTCCAAAGTCAAGTGTGAAGACATGCGGCCTTGCACGCGGTGTGTGCGGAATGGACAAGGAGACCTGTGCTCTGGAAGCGCGACAGATGCTGAGATTGCGCATGACAAGGAGGAGTCCTCGATCATGGAGGCAAAGAGGAACAACAGCGTTTCAAGCACCGACTCCTTATTGCCTATGGATGGTTTTGATTCTCAACTCACCGAGATTAAGGCAAAGAGGTGTAGAGTGGCGAAGAAGATGGCTTGCGACACGTGTAGGAGGTCCAAGGTTCGATGCGACACGGAAAGACCTTGCTCTCGTTGCGTCGGACTTGGGCAGGAGAGCATGTGCATGAGCTCCCTGGGGGAGGTCAACGACAAGAAAAGCCCGACTGATTTGAGTGCGCATGTCAGGTCAGTGTTTTCCTCCTTCTTTGCTCTCTTTGTTGGCTGACTTGAAGAGCAGTGAGGAGCCGAAAGTCCCAACGTTCTCGGCAGTGCTCAATGCTGACGCGCACAAACCTTCCTCGTGGCACAAGGTTGTACATCCTGTGCAGATCTCAAATCCCTTTGAGGAGGCACGTGGAAGTATCTCTGAGGAGACGTCGAGTCAAAACACCAGCGCGGCGAGCTCTCCTCCTGAGAGCCTCACCCAGTCTGTCAACTTGCTGAGCTTCATGCAGCCCAGCACCAGCAAGTCCTTGGACCTTTCAGCCCTCCTGGCACTCAACTCGCAGAACCAGTTGTTGAACTCGCTGACGAGCCCTCTCTCCCTCGGACTGCTTGCAAACAACACCTCAGTCCTGGGCGGGCTCCGGCCTTCTGTTCAATTTCCAGCTCGTGACTACTCGGAGCCTTGCTGGGACCTTTCAGCTGCAAGGCTGACGGGCATGCCCTTGTTACAGGGAGTTGTCATGGGACGGTAAAGGACGTGTAGTATAGATTTAACGCTGTAGAGGCGTCTAGTTTTGTTTCGATTTTCAGAATACACCTGTAAGGTTTACTTCCCTTGCCTTCTCGTCAGCCGCTCACCCTCTCCGTTCCTGCTCACGTAGAACGCTCCTTCTCCCTGCTGCGTTACCTCTAGATGGGGTTCTGCTGCGGTCGGTTTAGCGTGTCGATGGCGAGCCAAGCAAGGCGGTGGAAGCCCATCCTGTGCGGGGTGAGGGACAGCGGCAGAGGAGGAGACATCTATGTCACCTTCTTAGTGCCTCGGCCGCCACCATCAGGTCCATGTACTGCGAGAGCCTGAACGCCTGTCAGCCTCTCGTCCCCATCCTCCCCTCCCTCCATCTCCCTCGCTCTCCATCTCCCTCACCCTCTCCCTTCCTCTTCGTCCTCATCTCAACTCATCGTACCAGCGGACGCGGAGGGCGTTGGACAGCATGGAAAGAGCGAAGGAGAGCATCGACGCCTCCTTAGCATCCCTGCATGAGGGTGAGAGAAGCGCCAGGACGGGGAGGCTCATAACCTTAGGCCAGTCTTAGTGGAGTACAAGGTGGAGAGCCTAGTCAGGATGTGCGGCACTTGACCGAAGGCTGCTTCGACCGCCACCTGCTGCGACTTCACCTCCCGCCCCTCGCTCCTCTCACCCGCCTGCGCATGCGAGGCCCCGTCGTTGACAGACATGTCGCCAGTGCCCATCAAGTTCCGTTGCCGAAGAGACTTCCATGCGTTGCAGCCGTTGGCTATGGCGAGCATGGTGGTGAATCTGCCAGTTCCAGTTAGAGCAGGGGAGGATCAGGGGAGCAGGACCTGGCAAGCAGCAGCGCATGGCGTTGATTCTCAAGCCGCAGGAGCATGGAGGGAAGGACTTCGAGCATGAAAGACTCGGCTATCAAGTTCCTTCCGTTGACATCCTGCATCGCAACGTCATGTGCGAAGAGGAGCACGAGGAACGGTACAAGGGATCCGTGCGAGAGGAGGAAAGTGCCAATGGAACACAGGTTGAAGGTCGTCGCGATGCTTGCAGCAGTCGAGCTCTGCATCCGCATCAGGTGGGAGCAGGAGCGGGTGGGGCGTGACCTGCGAGGACAGGAAGATAACCTCGTCTATCATCCCCTTGGCGAGCTCGTAGGGCTCGATCCTCCGACGCAGGAGACGCATGGCTTCGCTATGCTGCAGCTGGGGGCCTCCCCGGTGAATGCTGACGAGCACGTCATAGATGACCTTCTTGTGGTTGAGAAGGTCGATGGGCGAGAGGTCGAGGGAGCTCTGGAGCTTCTTTTTGAGCTGCTCAGGGGGTCAGAGAGGCGGGGGCGGGGAAGGCTCACCTGAGATGCGCTGTCTTCCGGCAGCCTGTGGAGGACGAGGGACATGTTGCGATCGATGACGATGAGAGGCTTCGTCTCGTCTGCTGTCAAGTCCGTGAGGAGCTTCAGCAGGACTTCGATGGCTTTCTTGCAAGACACGGCCTCGTTCTTCCCTCCCTGCTCCGTCCTGTGCGAAGTCGCTTGCATGCAGAGATGAGCGACAGTGTCCACCATCGCGTACCGCACGACACTGATGAGCATGTGCAGCGCCTGCGCAGCTGCCTGAGACTGCATGCGATCAGCGCAGCACCCTTGAAACACTCGCTCGGCAAAGCTTGGAACACACTCCAGCACAGCCCAAGCTGTGAAGGTCTTGACAGCCTTCTCCAGCTCCGCCTTCTTGCCCCAGTTCTGATTGAAAACAGACTCGACGAGCTTGTTCTCGACCGTTCGGTCCTCCATGTTCAGCTTGCCATACTTTTGTATCTCCGAGTGCCGCCGCAGCCAGCAGGCGTAGCAGCCCCGCGCATCCTCTGCCGTCCACTTGAGGGACTCGCGCTCCAGACTCTCCATGAAGATGTCGCTCTGGTGGAGCTTGTAACGGTTGACGATCAGGCAGGCGATCAGGAAGATGTCGCCAAACTGCTTGTGAACTTCGAAGTTCGGAGAGTCCGGCGCTGAGCTCGGCATTCTGCTCCCGAGGACGTCGAGGCGGAAGGAGATGCCGAACAGAACGTTCTCGAGGTACCGCTGAGCCTTCACGATGTCCATGGTGGCAGGAGACTTGATGACGTTGTTGAGGAAGTGAACGTAGACGGCTACGGGCACAGGGTCGTTGGCGAGGTCAGGAGGAACTCCGAGGAAGGTCGCGATCACCCGCGCTGACTCAGCGCTGCACCGGGAGCCCTTGGTGACCTCCTCACACAGCAAGTTCCAGAGCTGCAGAACGGGCGCGTTGCCAGTCACCTGGCTGTGGATGTGCGCCATGTTGCGGCACTCGTCCTGTACCATGCTCTCGATCGCAAGCACGTCCTCCACACACTTGGGAGCCACGTTCTTCCGCAGGTCATCCCGGCTCGTGCTCTCCGGCGCGGGTTTCTGCCACTGGACCAGCGGCTTGATGTGCATGCGGACCTGCTGCTCGTCCATGGCTCCAAGATCAGTGAAGGCGTCACAGACTAGGTTCCAGACGTCGGGCGTGTTGGTGGGAGCTGAGGGAACATTGACATGCAGGAACTGCGGCCACTGCCGCACGCGTGCAAACGCCTGCTCGATGACGCCCTGCGCTCCTAGGAGGTCCTCGACCTGCAAGATGCCCATGAAGGGCGACCGCGTCCAGATCTTGACCTCGTTCTCGACCTGCCCGATAGACAGGATGATCTTGGGCAAGTGCCAGAGGAGGAAGTGACGGGCAACGATACGGTCGGGGGTCCCGAGCTTGGAGCTGCTCAAGATGAAGAGCAAAGAGAGCCAGAGGTTGTAGGCAAAGTGAACGCTGCGAGAGCCCTGCAAGTCTCTGATGTCATGCATGAACAAGGCCATGTCGTCAATGTCCGCACTGCTGTGACTCGAGCGATCCATGGTCGACCACATAGCCAACATCAGCGTTCTCCTCGTGACGTCATCGTTCTGCATGTCTACACCAAGAGTGTCTCTGAGATGAGAGGGCTCACATAGGAGGCAGAGCTGCAGAGGATCGTTGTAGACTTTGAGGTCATTCCATAGGCTCTGCAACTTGGTAGACGATTTGTTGCTCTGATACAGCTCATGGACGTCGGATGAAAATCCCTCCCAATCTTGCGCGTTGACCATCGCGATGTGAACCATGTTCTCAAAGAAGAAGTCAGAATGAAGAACGCTCTTGAGCGAAGCAACACAGAGTTCCATGTTCATCTCCACACATCCGTCCACGAGCTCCTGCATCGCCAGTGGGTCAGTCGCAGAGAGCTTCACGGTCTCGTTCCAATGTTTGATTCCCTTCAAAAACATTCTCAGGCATGGCAGCACGACATTTGTCGGCAGCTGATCCTCCGGCATATCGCACAGAGAAAGCTTGCCCGCCTCACGCTTGCACCAACCGTTCCACACAAACACCTTTGCGATCTCAACAACGGCTTGATACTGGTGCGCCTTGCTCGGATCAGCTTTCTCCACCATCCCCATCATCGTCTCTGCAACCGTCTGAGAGTGAGTGGGCCACCAGCTGACGATCGCTTCCTTGATATACTCCTTGAGCATCGGGCTCGGACAAGGTCCATGGAAGAAGAGTTTACAGAGGTGTTGGAGAGCTGGCGAGACATCCACAGCCTCCGACTGCAGCAGCAAGGTTGGAGCACTCCTCCGCTCCTTCCACGAGGTCAGCAGGGTCTTGTTGAAGTCCTGATCCTTCCGCAGTAGTTGGATCCTCTTAAGGGCTCGTAGCCCGGACTCATTGCCAAGACTCCTTTTGGACATAGTCCGGGTCCTCAGGTCGAGCAAGCAAGAGCCTGTAAAGATGTCATTAGTGTCATCGCACGTTTCTTGCCGAGGGGAAGGATGTGTTGATCGCTACAGGCGCTGCACTGAGCCTGTTGAGCTTCAGCCCTCAGCCATGACACGCTCAATTTTGTTGATAACATCACGAGAAACAGCATCAGAGCTTCAATAAGATGGCTACAACATGATGGTTGTAGACTGATCTAACATCAATGATTTCATCTTGGGCACATGCTGATGGCTCATCATGACAAATTCGAGACGGACAACATGAAAGCTGATACACCTTTCTGATCACACGACAAAACTAACTTTTAAGGACAGATTTCGCTTCATGCACACTCACACGGCCTCAGTATCACATAGCATCTCGGTCCACACAGTTCACCATCACGCCTACACTCATCTGCATTCCTCCCACTTGTTTTCTCTCTGCCTCTTCACAGCACTGCTCAGTCCCTTCCCTTCCTGCATCCACCCGTCCTCTCGATTCTTTTCGTCCTCCAACTCCAGAGCGGACAAGCAAACACACACACACACACACACACACACCACATACATCTCTCAACCTCAATCGCTCTGCTTGTGCTCTCATTCATATCAGACATCTCTTGCATTCAGGCATCACGACCATCCCTTCATTTCAGACATCCCTCACCATGGAGCACTTCTTGTCTGACCTCGCTCAACCATCCCTCTGACTTCTTCTTCCTTCTTCCTTCTTCCTTCTTCCTTCTGCCCCTCCCCCCCCCACCCTCCTCCTGCTCCCCCTTCTCCCCCTGCTCTCTTCCCGCCTCTCTCCGCCAATTTCCCCTCCCTTCCCCTCTGCATTTTTCGAGTCCACCTCCGCGCGAGCCCGGGACCACATACCCCACATACCCACTTCCCGGGTAACCACATCCCCACACAGACCGAGAATTCTTTCGATGCGAGTTTGTGGTCCCGATGCGCGGGCAACGCAGCGTGAAGGCAGCGATGGCGCAACTAGCGGTGCAGCGGCAGCAGAGTCGATGCTGTTCAGTATGAAGCTGCAATGCTCGGTAGAGCATGAAGCTAGAGAGGCGGTGCCATGCTTGGAGAAGGAGGGAAAGGAGGAGTGATGGAGCTGTGCGGGAGGGAGTGGGAGGGGAGCAGGATTGAGACTGGGCAGTGTGAAAGTATTGGTGCCATATCAACATGCGGCGATTGAGAACAGAAATGAAGGGACCCGTGAGAATGTATCAAGATACAAGAAGACAGTAGCGCAAGGGTACAGAAACAACACCAGCGATACAAACAACTGGCTTGTAAGATCCGCAATATTCTTGAGGTCTAGATCTACCACTATCAAGATCTACACAAACATGCCCAGGCTCAAACTGACCTGCATGCTGAATCGTCAGGGAAGGAGGCGGAAGGGAGTGTTTCGGACTTGCAGCCATCGGCTTTACCTTTGATCATACCTGTACTGGGTAGGTAATGTCATGTCAGATGCTTTAGCAATGATCTCACAGCAAGCGATATGGAAGTTTGTGACATGTTCACATTTTTGTGCAGTTGCAGCCCATGACTGAGAGCAAATCAAAGGAGCAGAACAGTCAGCATGAGAGCAAGGAGCGTGATTCTGCTAACAACGAGCGCTCATCTTCAACGATGAAGCTGCTGTTTGCGAACGATGGAAGCTTCATGGAGCAGTTCCTTGCTGCGAAAAAGAAGGAGAATAGACAGGACAAAGGAGCAGAGAAAACAACGATCAAGGTGGATGGAAAGCAGATCGTTGCAACCAGAACAATGTTGACAAGCTTCTCAACCAAACCAAAGAAAGAGAAAGACCCCTCACTTGAACCAGAACCTGAAGATCGGATGAGGAAGAGGAGGAGAGACGAGTATTTGATTGAGATGCAGAAGTATCGCAGCAGCTCTTGCGGTTGTGAAGAAAGAAAGAGGCCGCTTGTGAGATAAAAATGAAGCCTTTGGATCCCTGTAAGATGAGCCCATGGAGCATGCATAGCCAGGAGGAGAAGCTTGGTTTCTTCTGTGCACAAGGAATGTGGGTAGTCTGCTCCGATGTATCAAGCTTTGTAAGTTTTTATCCCGAGTCCCAGCATCCCAACAGCAAAGATATACTTCAACGTGTCGTCCTGTACATGTTGTGCTATCTGTAGCGGGAGCGTCAAATGCGCCAGTGGGCCGGAAGCAGCCGCTACCTGCACTCCAAGAGCTGCCCCGATAGTCGATCCAAGAAACAGCATCCTCCCCACTTTCATGGATGTCAACTGACGTTCTTCCGCATACTGAAGCTCACCTCGCCACCTTACATTGCCCAAGCGATGATGAGTATACAGAGAAACTGCCGAAGGGAAGATCATCGCCACCATCGATGTTCCCACGACAGCATGTTGTGACATTCCTGCAGCTCTCTCAGTCTTTCTCACTCACCCTCCTTCCTTCACCTGAGAATAAGGCGAGCAAGGGTGTAACTATGATACCTCCTCCGATTCCCAGCAATCCCGACAAGTATCCCGCAGTCCCCCCTGAGTGGAACATCAATCCCGTGGAACGTCAGTCGTGCCTCTGCAGCAGCTGCCAACCTGCTGCAACAAGGATGCTGATGTAGGGGACCCTCGCGTGACTGGGAACAGACATGAGACCTGCCAGAGTTCTCAGCCACATTGCCCCGGACACATGACAGGCACGGCAACCTGGAAACTCTCCGAAGGATTTCTTGCACTGATCGCAGACGACATCGAGGTACGGGAAATATTTCTTCTCTGCGTCTGCAGAAGCCAATCAACAACTTATGACGCCGTTGCGCTGGGTAACCGTGCAACGAGATGAAGAACGGATCCGACAGGAGGTTACTCTTGTGGCTGGACTCAAGGAGCCCTTCCCTCAAGGGGACAAGCGGCGCCGATATCGTAAGGAACACCTAAAAGACCTCTTCATGCTGCAGTGAGCAGGTGCATAGCAAGCGATACCCCCATGACCTTCTTGAGGGTCTTGTGCGAGATCTTCATTGTGGCTCGAGCGCCGGCTGTACCCTCAGTCAGACGGCGGAAGGATTGAGGTCAGCAAACCTGGCGCTGAGAACATGGCTACCACTGCGAGGATTCCAGCGCCAAAAGGATCCGCCTGCCCGTAGCTGTCGCAAAAGAAGCTCGTCAAGCAGCGAGATGCAGCATTCCTGCATACCTGAAGTAGAGCACTGCCGAAACCAGCCCTGTGCCCAGCACAGCCACCAAGGACGTGGCAGAAGCGTGTCTTGCTTGCATGCTCATGGGCTTGCACGTCAGCAGGGGAACCATGATCACCCCTCCTCCGACGCCAAGTATGCTTCCAAAGGTGCCCGCAAGGGTCCCGATAGGCATCCCGAGGAAAGAGATCTTACCCGACGTGTCGCTACTTTCCTCCTCCTTCCTGGCGACGGATTCATCCGAAGAAAGCATCCGTCTCGAGACAAGATGAGTTCCTGGCCTGGTAGAGCGATGGAATGTTGGCCGGGAGTGCATTCGAGGATCACTGCTTCGCAATGAATAAATGAGGTTACGCGCTATCGCACCCCGAACGATCGCAACATGCGCAAAGGGAGGAGCGACTCTCATGAAACGAGCATGGCAGCTTGTTGACGTGTATAGACTGTTCGATGCGACGTGGTGGTGCGAGAAAGACATGCATCCGTCTCCCGACGCCGGTGTCTTTCCATCAAGGATCAAACTTGTAACTAATCTCGATGGTCTGAAGATGCTGATGCAGCTGAGCGATTTCTCACCTCCGTCAAAGTTTCTGTTCGATGTCAATGAGCTGATGGGCATGGCACGGAACTTTTCGCTCCTCCCTGCCCCATGCCATCGGCTCCTCCTCCCTCCCTCCATCAACCATCTAATCGACGACATAGCGACCAATTCAACATCAACTACCCTCACCCACCTTTACATTACCCCCACCCTCATAAAGTCCCTTTTGTACCCTCACCTTTCTCTGTGTGACTGGCACAGATTATTACCCCCACCCGGGAGTGTAAGGATACCCTGTAAACAGTGTGGGGAAAGTGCCAGCCATACGAAGAAGAAAGTAGGATATCGGAAGGACATTTCCTAGGGCATTTTCATACGTGTTGTCAGGAGGAGGCCATGGAGGTAAGGAACCGAAGGAGAAGGAGGAGGGGGGGGGGGGAGGAGAGGTGAGAGGAGGGCAGGAAAGAGGGCAGGACAGGGGAAGGGAGGACAGGAACGGACAGGACAGGACAGGACAGGACAGGACAGGACAGGACAGGACAGGACAGGGGATGAAGGAGACGGGGAAAGGGAAGGGGAGGGGGAGGAGGGGGAGGGAAAAGGGAATGGAGCGGGTATGCGAGCGCGTCAGAGTGGCGAGGCAAGATGTTGTACGAAACGATCGATGAGAGGAAGGAACTGGGGAGAGTTAAACCTGAGCAACAAGATGGTTGGGAGACAGAGAGAGAGGGCTCGCAGGAGGAGAACAGATGCAAACAGGACTAGCACTTATTACGATAGCAATCAGCGGAAGGACGCTGTCACGGTGACCTCAATTCAGAATAGACAGATGATAGAAGAACAGGCAGAGAATGAAGTAGACATGTAAAGAGAGAAGGCAGTGACGATCACTAGAGACTGGAAGCGACAGTGGGAGCTCTGATCCCCTCCTGCCCAGGAGAACAGGATGAGGAGAGTCACTAGGGCATCACTGACTTGCCTGGGAGTGCTTCTGATGTGGTTCGGTGGGCGGGTTGACGGGCGTCTACAGTTGCCGGAGGAAGCCGATAGGGGTATGCAAGTGATGGAGTATGCGAAGCACGGAGTTGCTTTCTTTCACAAGGTGTTCACTCCGGAGGAGTGCGAGTCGATCATCGAACTGTTCAAGGAAAGATGCAAAGTAGACGAGGTTGTTCAAGCTGCTGTCTTGTGATGAAGTGAAGATGAGGGTGTCAGGACCATCGGAATGACAAGGGAGTAAGAAGAATCAATCGGATAGACGCGGAAAACAAACTCATGAAAGAGAGCAAGCTTGACTGGATCTACGAGAGAGTGATCAATGTACTCTGCTTGCCACCACCGCACATCCTCCCATTCACGCGGTCTCCCTTGCAGGCCTCTAAGACTTCCAAGCTGATGTTGCCCTGGGGCTTCAACGTGACAGAAACAACCTCGGAGCAGTTTCGCAATCATGTGCACCAGCCCGACATTCTGCTGCTTGTCAGGGTTGACTCGGACATGCAGGTGGAATTCAATCTCCTTCATGAGTTCAAGGCCGGATACTTCTTTGACTTCCACATTGACACGAAACCCAACGATGGTGAATCAAACTTGCCATCGCTCGCGCAGTTCTGAAAAGTTGAGCAGGGACGAGCAGAACGATCAACATTAACATCATGCTATCTGCAAGGGACAAGTACAAGGGGGGAGAGCTTCAAGTTCGCTGTTGTCTTTCTACCATCACACTTGCAATGACGATGCTGATAGGTGGGTGCAATCAACGTCGTCGCGGAGCAGGGAGATATGTACTTCTATCCTGCTGCCTTTCCTCACAAGGTATGCTGCCTTGTATCCAATAGCTGTGCCAGCCCCTCCCTCCCTCCCTCCCTCCCTCTTCCTCCCTCCATCTCTTCCCCCTGCTCTCCTCTTATGTGGAAGCCGCAGGTTCATGATATCACCGAGGGTCTCCGACACACCTTCATCATCGCCTCCTGCGCCACCAACGACAAGTCAGAGGGTCAGGCGCTTCTGGCCGCTGCAGCATCCTGACAGACTTGCTGGCTGCAGCTGTTAGGAAATCAGCTGACTATCTGAACGAGAGAGTCCGCTACTTCCAGCTCGCCGCTAGGAATCACGCCATCCTTGACCAGTGAGCACTGGCTCGACTCAGGGCCCTGCTCCTAGTGACGGTGCGGTAGGTACGCTGAGTCCGGAGTGGACAGGCCGGAGGTCAACGCCAAGATCCTCTGGCTCCATGGAGAATTTCTGGACGCGTCAGGTACATGGGCGAAGCTCGTTCAGTGTAGCTGAGGACGTTGAAGGGCATCAAGACCTGGCCGACGACTTGTTCGCTCGCTCCTATGCCGCATCAGGACAGGCAACTACCTCTCGTGTCTTGCTGCGTGCGACTGAGCGCAGCGACAGGGGCCAGACTATGCTGAGCACTTCTTTGCACAGGGGATAGCAGCGATCCAGGTGAGGGGGAGGAAGGGTTGGGAGTCTCGGAGGATGGTGAGAGGAGGACAGGCGGGGCAAGTAGAAACCGGGAAGAAGACCATCGAAATGGCGCTCAAGGTTCACCCTCAGCACGCGAGGGCACGGGAGACGCTGCTGGTTCTTGGTAGGTCGGAGGGGAGAGGCTGAAGGACTCCCGGTGACTTTGCTGAGCAGAGAGCGCGATGCATGGAGACAGGAAATAAGAATGTTAAAACAATGAAACTTGAAAACCCGGCACACTGATATGCTACTTGAAACTATCATGGCATACCGTACATTACTCAGTGACCGTCCGGGACTAGTTATACTACCGTCACCCGACTGGCGGGGAGTGGCACCTCACAGAGTCACTACTAGGCTACAGTAGCCCGGCCCTAGCATCTTTCCGACTGGCGGGCCCGGGCCGGGGCGCCGCCAGCTGAGTGTGTCCGCACTGCACAGCCCATGGCATCATCATGTGCCATCCGATGCCATGATGGCCCGGAACCTCGGCGGTCCGATCACCAACTGTTGGTGCCAGATCGGACCGTCGCTGTGACCCAGCCAGTGGCGGCGGCCGCCCGGCCCGGCCCGAGTTGGGCGCCGGCACCGCCCGGGTCGGGCCCCCCGGCGAGGCGGCGGTGCCACTGTGACTGGCAGGCACTCCGACTGACTCGTGACTCTGTGAGACGATGATCGGACTGTCCGGCGACGGCACTCAGCACTGCCGCCCGGCAGCGGCCGGGCAGGCACCGGGTCGAGTCGGTCCGGGTACAAGTCGAGTCTTGACTACTACTGGTTGAGTAAAGTGTCACTGGTCAGCTGCCACTTTACAGCTCTTTTTTTTAAGGAACAGCAGTGGATCATGCGGCCTTCCGGGATTGTCCCGTGACTCGGCACGACAGGCTGTACGGGTAACCCTCTACCCCCTTAATCCCTAGTCAAAACACCGGTCCTGCACCCACGTCATTCTCACACCGCCATGTCGTCCACACGTACCTCCCTTGCTCCTGGCAGCGCCTTCCCCTCTCTGACTCTCCCCAAGGTCGGAGGAGGAGAGGTCACCTTCCCCTACAAGAACACCGAGACCCTCGTCGTGTTCTACCGTGGAAACTTCTGCCCCTTCTGCCAGGGCACTCTCAAGAGCCTGCAAGCAGCTCTCAAGTCCTTCGAGGAGATCAACGTCAAGGTCATCGCGATCTCGGCAGACAAGGAGCCCGAAGCCAAGACGACCGTCGCTAACTGCGGCATCTCCTTCGATGTCGCCTACGGCTTGGAGCCTTCGACCATGCAGAAGCTGGGACTCTTTATCAGCGACCCGACCAACTACATCGAGCAGAAGCACAAGTTCAGCGAGCCTGCTTGGTTCTTCATCAAGGAGGATGGCTCCGTGCGCTACCTCGACATCGGCAGTGCTCCGATGACCGCACGCCCTGTCCCGGACTCCATCATCATGGCTGTCAAGTGGGTGCGTGAGCAGCTCGAGACTCGCCCAGAATTTGGCAAGGTGGTGTGGGGATCAGCTCAGGCTTGAGGAGACTGAGAGAGAGGACACAAGACGAAGCCGACGAGTGTTATGGACGTGGACTTGAGTGATGAATAAGCTGAAACTTGACAGCAATCTTGCCTCTGCTGAGAGACCTGACAGACCGTGACTCGCAACTGCTCTGCTATCCGATGATCCAACTTCATCCTATCATCGGACGGTCATGGCATGACTGACTCTGCAACACCCGTCACAGTGTAACTGTCACAAACTCAAGTTAGTAGCTGAGCAGCCTGGCAGAATAACTAGTCATTTCAATCATGTGATGAAACTGGCTCGCCGCGGCGCGGCCGAGCTGATCCGACGGCGATCAGAGGCTTTGCAAGTCCGGGCACGTCATCGGTCAGTGCCCGGCGGCGTTCCGAACAGTGCCATGATGATCATCATGGCGGCGGATCAGCACTGCTACTAAGATACACTGACTTAGTCTACCGTACCCGGCTACAGTACGGTACGGCACGGCGACCGTACGAAACGCCCGTAGAGTCGGATCACAGAGTCAAGTTGAATCGCCCAGTCGGAACTTCCGTCACACCGTCTGTCAGTTAGAACTTCGAGTCCCTGAGCCTGACGGCCGGGCGCGGTTGCGACCCGGCGCCCGGCCCGGCCCCCCCGCCGGCGGGCGTGAGCCAGGCCGCTCCCGGCCCGGGCCCGCCGGCCGTGGCCGCTCGTTCACGCCCGGCGACTCCGGGCCGCGATCCGGGAGTTACAAGGCTGTAGATTGAACTAAAAAAAAGAAAATTCTAACGGTATTGAACAATCAAATTGAACATGCTCAGTAATTTGAACTCTCACTGTGAAATGTTCAAAATTAATTGAATATTCTCAAACTGTCACTCTTACGTTCGCCTAGGCGTGTACACTGTTCTACATGGCGAGAGTGGGAACAGGCGAGCGAAGGCATGATGGTTGGTAGCAAGAGCGCAGGCAAAAAACGAATGGTGAATGAGAAGGACAGTATCAGCTAGATACAAGATACCTCAACCAGCGACGTAGGAGGAACGTAGTAGAGTTTCGCTGGATTACAAGCCGTATGAGAATTGTTGTTTGAGATATACAAAAGCTGCAGTCATTAACACTATCTGTTGGACAACGTCGAATCTTGATGTTGACTTCTTAACCAATTCATGCACTTGCCACCATTAGCAGAATCGTCGTGAACTGAATTTTCATGCTGCAGAACTTTCGGGTAAGGGTAGTACCTCGCAATGCTGGACGACTGGAAAGCGTCGACGGACAGATCTCTTGCCAACACAGAAAGTATCCTTCGCTCCATCTCTCAAACCAGATCGTCGGCACCGAAGAGCAACAGATCAAGTTCTATCCTCAACTCGCTTGCTGAATCTCTTCAGGGCAGTGTAGACATGTCGGCTCAACCCCTAGACGTGTCGTATCAGTATCGTCAACGATTTACCCTCTCCTCCGATATCGACAGGCTGTTTGCAAACGTGAAGCACGAGATGGAGAGTAAAAGCCAACAGGTGCAAACGAAGATGGAGGAGTCCAAGAAGGAGGTCCTGACTGAGGTCTCGTCGCGCCTCGTCGGGGTGGACGAGGAGCTCGAGGAGGTGAAGAAGAAGCTGGCAGAGGAGAGAGAAAAGAGGAGCAAGGCCGAGAAGACTCTCAACAATCTGCTCCGCTGGCAAGAAGAAGTCAGGTACTTCATGGATGACTACAGGAGGAAGGTGGATGAAATCGAAGAGCACCGAAACAATGAGAGGAAGGAGATGCGGAGGGAGATGGTTAAGAAGCAGGAGGAGGTGAATCAGAATCATGCGGAGCTGAGGAAGGAAGTAGAGCAGCTGCGGAGCAGGTTGAACGCGAAGCAAGTGGACAAGGAAGGCACGGCAGTGCAGGCGGTGCAGAGCATGGAGAAGAGTATAGCCGCCATGGTAGCGCGATGCGACAGGCTGGAGCACGCGATGGAGACGCGGGAGCATGCTCAAAGCGCTCGAGATGAAGCGGACAAGAAAATTTCATCTCTGGTTGATTGTGATTGCTCGTGCTGATTGCTGTGGGATGATCATCAAAGTTGACGAGTTGCGCTGTGCATGTTTGTATGGACGTTTGTTGGAGCTTATGTTGGTTCTTGTGTCTGTCTGTTTGCATTCCTGTGCCTTCATCTCTCCATGTCTTTCTGTAGTCACTTGCTAGTAATTGCTGATTGTATCAACAGGACGAAAAGATTCGCGCGTTGCAGATCAAAACAAACTATCAGGTCAGCTGCTAGATGATCATCAGTAATAATACTGGTAGTGGTGGTGGTGGTGGTACTGATTGAGATGATGGTGACGATTACGATCACGATGATAATGTCATTGATGGCCATCGGGTATCTTGATGGAGTTTGTTCATCATGTACTTTCTCTCCCGCATTGATATTGGACCAACAGGATGAGAAGGAAAGAGACTTGGCCCAGGCGCAGGTTCGTCGAGGATGACATTCTGTTTTCTCGCTCACTCGCGTCCAACCAGGAGGCAAGAAGTTTGGAGCTTCTGAATAAGATTCGACACTGCGTGAGCTGATGACGAGGGTGAGGAAGGGGATTGAGATGTAGAGCAGGAAGACAACATCAGCTCGACTGCTATCAAGATCAATCAGCTGGTAACAACATCATCCCCTTTGTTCTGACCCTTCTCTTCCTCTCCATGCGTTTGATGGATTTTCTTGCTCCTCCTCCTTTTCTTGCTCCACCACCATTACCTCCTCTTTTTCCTCCTCCTCCCATTGTCATCGTCATCGTCATCGTCATCGTCGTCATCATTTCTTTTGTCACGAACATCACCTTACCTTGAGCATCTCCTTTACCGCCAAGAACAACTTCATTTCCTTGATCTCCTCCTCCAAATTCCCTTCCTTCAGTCCCCTCTCCTCTTTCCATCTCACTTCCTTCTGCTGACAGGCGGAAGACCTTCAAGCAAGCATGGTGCCGCTGCAGGAGGCAGTGGAGGAGCTGAAGAGCGTCGAGGGGGAGCAGGGAGCAGGGATGGAGAGGATGCAGGGGATGATCAACGAGGTCGTGCAAGTTATCGGTGCCATGAGCGCGAAGATGTCGCAGGAGGAGGAGCCGGGGAGGAGGCGGACGGGGAGAGAGGAGGAGCAGGTAGAGGAACGTCTGCAGGAGATGCACAAGGTGTATGAGAAACGGTTCCATGACATCGCTGTGATGATCAGACACATTGGCATGAGCGGAGGCGGGAAGGAGATGTTGCTGAGTACGCTGAGGAAGGGAAGGGAGGAGGAGAGCGAGACGGAGAGCGGCGAGTCTGGAGTCGGCGGGAGGTCCCAGTCCCTTGCTCGCATGCTGGAGGAGATGAGGAGGATCAAGGTGATGGAGGAGTAAGAGGAGACAACAGGGGAGAGGGAGGGGGAGGATAGAATGAAGAAGATGCAGGACCGTAGCAGCAGCAGCAGCAGCAGCAGCAGTAGTAGTAGTAGTACGAGGAGGAGGAGGATAGCATAGAGAAGAAGGAGAGGTAGCAGTAGTAGTAGTAGTACGAGGAGGAGGAGGATAGCATAGAGAAGAAGGAGAGGTAGCAGTAGTAGTAGTAGTACGAGGAGGAGGAGGATAGCATAGAGAAGAAGGAGAGTGGGGGGAGGAGCAGCAGCAGGAGTTGGGGGACGTGGTTGAGTGGGGTGGGGAAGAGGAGGATGCTGAAAAGTTCCTTCTGTCCATCGCAGGGGGAGGTGGACCAGGACATGTCCTCGTTTCGGAAGATGATGTATGACGTGCAGTCAAGAGCAGCAGGAGGGGCAGAAACATCCTCGCTCGTAGACGACGTGTTCGACCTCAAGTTGCAAGTTCAGCCTCTGAAAGAGGTTCACAGCCCACCTCCTCCTTGCTCCTCCTCCTCCTCCTTGCTCCTCCTCCTCCTCCTCCTCCTCCTCCTCCTGGCTTCCTTCCCCTCCATCCTTCCCTCCTCTCTCCCTTGCCCGTTCTTCTCCTCCCTTGTTCTGCTCCCACTTCGCCTCCCCTCTCCTCCTCTCTCTTCCGTGTGGTCACTCTGCCCTCTTTCCCCACCTCTTTTAAATTTCCCTCTGCTCTCTTCGCCTCTCCTCTCCTCCTCCTCTCCTCCTCCTCTCCTCCTCCTCCTCCTCCTCTCCTCCTCTCCTCCTCCTCTCCTCCTTGTTTGTTTCTTTCTCTTCTTGTCGCTCACGCTCGTTTCTCCCGCTCCTCTCAGAGGTTGAACTCGCTTCAAAACAAAGTTCATGCCCTCCAGATCCAGGTTTCCCTCCTCGCCTTTCTCCTCCTCCTCCTCCTCCTCCTCCTCGTTCTCATGTTCCTCCTCCTCCTCGTTCTCATGTTCCTCCTCTCCGTTTTTCTTGCTCCTCCTGTGCCCCCTCTTCCTTCCTGATCTCTCTCCAGTTTAAGAGAAGATCTCCTCCGATCTCCTCCTGCTCCCCCACCAGCTTCTGCTCACCCCTTCCTTCAGGTAGCAGGTCTCACCGACAGTTCTGCTCTGGTTTGCATCGCGGCGAGCAGGAGCAAGGAGGAGGAACACGAGGAGCCGAGGGACCGTCGAGGAGGAAGGGAGGAGGAGGAGGAGGAGGAGCATCAGCAGCAGCATCAGCAGCAGCATCAGCAGGGCGACAGGTCTGCGCAGATGTTCCTTGATGACACGAACTCGTCCGGGGAAGAGAGAAGGGCGCGAGAACAGCAGGATGGAGCACGAAGGAAGCAGCAGCAGCTTCTCAGAAAGGAGGAGGAGGAGGAGGAGGAGGAGGAGGAGGAGACGGCCGCGCCAGAGCCCGTGCCTGTGAGTTTTTGTGCAGCTTGAAGTGATGCTGACGTATCCTAGAGGTTGAAAGTGGATAAGCTGCTGAGCAAGGTGAATGGGACGATGGCAACAGTAGGAGGAAGGGGAGGGGAGGGAGGAGGTTGGGGGGGGGGGGGGGGGGGTTGGCTGAACACGGGTTGTACACCA